TTGAACATTGTCAGACTAGAAGCCTATGTCTCACATTTTCAGGATAGACTCTTCCTGATTTAGCTGCATAAATCTTAAATGCTGGCCTCCCCATTGTTTAGGTCCTGATCTGGGGACTAGCAAGGAGTCTGTCCCTGTGCTCTCAGTTGTCCCGCAGGAGTCCCAGTCCCTGGGTGCCTATTCAAGAGTCCACAGCAGGAGGCCAGTCCCTGTGCTCTCAGGTGTCCTACAGTGAGTCCAGTCCCTGTGGCTCATTTTACAGAGTTCCGCAGGAGCCAGTCACTGTGATCCTCAGAGGTCCCAGCAGGAGTCCAGGTCCCTGTGCTCCTCATAGTCCCAGCACGAGGCAAGTCCTGTGTTCTCAGAGGTCCCAGCAGGTGTTCACAGTCCCTGTGTCCTCAGAGTCCCAGCTCTTGAGGCCGTCCCTGTGCTCCTCAGGAGTCCAAGCAGGAGGGCCAGTCCTTGTGCTCCTCAGGCAGGAGGCCAGTCCCTGTGCTCCTCAGAGTCCCAGGTGGAGGCCGGTCCCTGTGCTCCTCTGAGTCCCTGCAGGAGTCCAGTCCTGTGTCCTCAGTAGTCACAGCACGAGGCCAGTCCCTGTTGCTCCTCAGAGTCCCAGTCTGGATGGCCATAGTCTTGTTGCTCCTCAGGGCAGGAGGGCCAGTCCCGGCTCCTCAGAGTACGATTTAGTAACTTACAGTGGGCAAAAAAGTCCAGCCACCAGTTGTGCAAGTTCTCCCAATTAATTAAAGACAGAGGTCTGTAATTTTCATTCATAGGTTCACTTCAAATGTGAGCAGACAGAATGGGAAAAAAAATCCAGGAATTCACATGTAGGTTTTTTAAAGATTTATTTGTAAATGATGGTGGAAAATTAGTATTTGGTCACTTCAAACAAGGATAGATATTGGCTTCTCACCAGACCTGTAACTTCTTCTTTAAGAAGGCCTCTGCTGTCTCCATCGTTATCCTTGTATTAATGGCACCGGTTTTTGATACTCATCTGTATAAAAGGACACCTGTCCACAGCTCTCTACTCTGACATCCAGAACTTCCACTATGGCCAAGACCAAGTGCTGTCGAAGGAACAGCAGGAAAAAGAATTGTAGACCTGCACCAGACTGGAAAAAAAAAGTGTTTTGTTATGTTGGTTGTTGCATTGTTGTGAATAAAAAAAAAAGGATGCTTGTTGTGTTGTGTTCTCTGTGAAAAAAAAAAGTGGGTGTTAAAAGTTGTTGGTTGACTGGTGGTACGGTGAGAGTTGTGGGTGGTTGTTGTGTGGAGTTGTTTGTTTTTTTGATGATTTGTAAAGTTTGGGGTGTGTAAAAGTGTTAAAAAAAAATCAAAAGTTGGGTTGTTGGTGGGATGGTGGTTGTGATTTTTTTGGTTGAGCTTTTGAGGGTGTGTGGGTTTGAGTGTTGTGATTGTTTGTGGTTTTTGTGTTTGAATCTACAAAGGCAGCAGCTTGGTGTGATCAAATTAAACTGTGGGAGCAAATTATCAGAAAATGGAAGACATTAAAGACCACTGATATTGGTGATCAAAAATCCCAGAACAAACTGGGGGGGACCTGGTGAAATGACTGCCAGAGAGCTTGGGACCAAAAAAAGTAACAAGGTTTACATCAGTAACACACTACGTCGACAGGTTTTCAAATCCTGCAGTGCCAGACGTGTTCCCCCTGCTGAAGCCACGTGCATGTCCTGGCCCGTCTGATGTTTGCAGAGAGCACGATGTTGATACAGCAGAGGATTGGGAGAATGTCATGTGGCTCAGATTGAAACCAAAGTACAACTGTTTGTGTATAAACTCAACTAGTCGTGTTCGGAGGAAGAAGAATACTGGTACAACCCTAGAACACCTACTACTTGTGAAGCATGGGGGTGGAAACGTCATGATTTGGGGCTGTTTTTCTGATAAGGGACAGGACGACCTTCTATCCGTGTTAGGAGGAAGAATGAAATGGGGACCTTTGTATCGTGGATTTTGAGCCAAAACCTCTTCCATCAGGTGAGAGCTTTGAAGATGAATCGTGGCTGGGTCTTTCCAGCATGACAATGATCCAAAACACTCGGCTTTTAGTTCCGGGCAACGAAGGTAGTGGCTCGTAAGAAGCATTTGAAAGTCTGGACAGTCTCTCCAGACCCAACCCCATTGAAAATCTGGTGGAGGGAGTGAAAGTCCGTGTTCACTGCTCTCGAGAAGATCTGCATGCAGGAATGGGCCAAAATACCAGCTACTGTGTGCAAAACCTGGTAAGACATATAGTAATCGTTGACCTCTGTTATGCCAACAAAGGTTATATTACAAAGTATTGAGCTTGTTGAATTTTTGTTATTGACCAAAGACTTATTTTCCAACATCATTACAAATAAATTCTTTAAAATCCCCCACCCCCCCTCCCCCCCCCCCTACAATGTGAATTCCGGGATTTTCTTTTCACATTCTGTCTCTCACAGTTGAAGTGAACCTATGTAGAACATTACAGACTCTGTCTTTAGTTTAAGTGGGGACCTGCACAGTCGGGTGGCTGACTTTTTTGCCCCACTGTCTGGCCCCCCCCCACCCCCCCCCCCCCCCCCCCCCCCCCCCCCCCCCCCCCCCCCCCCCCCCCCCCCCCCCCCCCCCCCTGCCCCCCCCCCCCCCCCCCCCCCCTTTTTCTTAAAATCGGACTCTGAGGAGCTCTGGACTGGCTCCTGCTCTGAGGGAGCACAAGGATGGCCTCCTGTGGGACTCTGAGGAGCCACAGGAATGGCCTCGTGCTGGGACTCTGAGAGCACAGGGAATGGACTCCTGCTGGGACTCTGAGGAGCACAGGGACTGGCCTCCTGCTGGGAATCTGTGGAGCACAGGGACTGGCCTCCTGCTCTGAGGAGCATCAAGGGACTGGACTTCGTGCTGGGACTCTGAGGAGCACAGGGGACTGGCCTCGTGCTGGACTTGAGGCAGCACAAGGGATCTGGGACTCCTGATGAGGACTCTGGGAGCACAGGGATGGGCCTCGTGCTGGGACTATGAGGAGACAGGACTGGATCCTGCTGGGACTCTGAGGTGCACAGTGGATGTCCTTCCGCCTGTGGGAGACTCTGATGAGCACTGGGGAATGGACTCCTGCTGGGACCTCTGAGGAGCACAGGGGACTGGCCTCATGCTGGGACTTCTTGATGAGCACAGGGACTGGGACTCCTGATGGGATCTGAGGAGCACAGGGGACTGACCCTTTGCTAGTCCCAGAAGTCAGGACTAAAACTTGGGGAGCAGCATGTAAGATTTATGCAGCTAATATCTGGAAGAGTCTTCATGAAATGTGAGACAGGCTTCTAGTATGACAATGTTCAATCCAGGTTAGACAGTTCAGTTTAGCTGTGAATAATGGGGGATTCTATCTTCTGTGATTATTGTGCTTGTTCAGCATTTGAGTTTGCCTTGTGTAAGGAATTGTGTATACAAATAAATGCCTTTTCTGTCCTTACACCCTTTTGCATTCTCTTACAGTTCTGGTCACAGCAGATTTGAATTATACATTTTAAAATGTTATAGAACCGACAACAGTGCGTATATATGTTGAGGATCTGAGGCGACAACATCCGGCCAAAACAAGGTCAGGGCTGGGGAACCAGAGCACCTTAATGAAAGTGGCTACTTGGAACATGGTGAAAGTGGTCGAGATCTGATAAAGGGCTCTGCACTATTGGAATGCTACTACTCGAGTATACCTGGCCAAAGTGGTTCATGAAGAGAATGTGGGCTGAATGGGTTACTTCGAAACCCCACAGTCTCAGTTGGTTGGACTCCCACCCCCCCCCCCACCCCCCCCCCGAAACAACCGGTAGTCAATGCTCCTACATCCACAAACGGCAACTGCACTTGCACTGCTTAGATCGATGAGGTACAACACATGTATGATGCCTAAGGTGCACAGTTACTGAGTCAGAGGGGTGGTCCACAACTGCAACTCCCCAACCAGAGTTTGGGCACAAAGCCCCAATGGATCCTATAACAGCTGAACGAGGCTGCGACTGACCGGAAAGCTAAAAATCATGGCTAAAATGGGCACAGGGCAAGACACCGGTTCCAGCGGTTGTGTGAAGTACCACCTAAGGATCTCATAGAAAACGTGAATGCAGCAGTTGAGGGCATATACCTACCAACACAATCACTGAAACCAATTGAGCTGATATACACTTCAGCAGCAGTGATACCTAGAGATGCTTGGCTATAAGAGCAACCATGAGGAGCCTTGGTCAATAACCCACCATGGAAAAAAGACGGTTGGGAGGTGAGATCAAGGTGGCTCGGAGAGAAGTGAGTCAATTAACAGAGGCCCAGAGAGGTGCAATGAAAAGACCAGTACCCAGAACGTAAAGCCAGATAACCTACCTGAAGCGACTCGAAAATGCCAAACAAATGCTCCATGCCTGGCCTGACGCCTACAGAGGTTACACTAAAGTGATTGAAGCCAGAAGGGGAAAAAGGCTGTTCGCAACACACCTGCGAAGGTGTACGATCAGTGCGCGGGTTACAAACAGGGTAAATCAGGGTAGCAACTGGGAGCAGACCTCCGGAGGCTGGACATGAAACAGCTTCTCGGAAGAAACATATGGGAGTGGATGCAGCACATAACAGCAGTGCACATTGGCTGGGTTTTGTCCCTGAGAGAGGAGCACAGCACACCTCCCAGAACAGAACTCAGTTACCATCACAGTGGGCTGAAATCGTGGGAAAGAGTCTCAGGTATGAAAAAAATGGACAGCACCTGCCTGATATGGTCCATGCCTTATGTGCTAAGGACTCCTCACATTCTCTCCATGAGCGCCTGCAGCTCAAATGGACCAGCTGCTCGGAGAATGGGTCTCACCCAGAATGGCTAAAAAAAACATGCTAATTCTTCATGGCTAAAGCTAAGTTAAAACATGCTAATGCTTCATGGCTAAAGCTAAGTTAAAACATGCTAATGCTACATGGCTAATGCTAAAGTGTGTTGCTCTCAGCTGTTTGAGCGGATGCTGCGCTGTGACCGTGTCTATGAGAAGAACAAGCAGCGTCTGCGTCTGCGGGAGGCGGGATACTCTGGACTCTCTCTGCTCCTCCCAGACCTCAGCATCACCCCCAGCCTCATCCGCTGCCTGCTCAACCAGGTCCTCCACACAGGTGTGTCAGTCCTGGTCCAGTCCTGGTCCAGTCCTGGGTCAGTCCTGGGTCAGTCCTGGGTCAGTCCTGGTCCAGTCCTGGGTCAGTCCTGGTCCAGTCCTGGGTCAGTCCTGGTCCAGTCCTGGGTCAGTCCTTGGTCAGTCCTGGGTCAGTCCTGGTCCAGTCCTTGGTCAGTCCTTGGTCAGTCCTGGGTCAGTCCTTGGTCAGTCCTTGGTCAGTCCTGGGTCAGTCCTTGGTCAGTCCTGGGTCAGTCCTGGGTCAGTCCTGGTCCAGTCCTGGTCCAGTCCTGGTCCAGTCCTTGGTCAGTCCTGGGTCAGTCCTGGGTCAGTCCTTGGTCAGTCCTGGGTCAGTCCTGGGTCAGTCCTGGGTCAGTCCTTGGTCAGTCCTGGTCCAGTCCTGGGTCAGTCCTGGTCCAGTCCCGGTCCAGTCCTGGGTCAGTCCTGGGTCAGTCCTGGTCCAGTCCTGGGTCAGTCCTTGGTCCAGTCCTGGTCCAGTCCTGGGTCAGTCCTTGGTCAGTCCTGGTCCAGTCCTTGGTCAGTCCTGGTCCAGTCCTTGGTCAGTCCTGGTCCAGTCCTGGGTCAGTCCTTGGTCAGTCCTGGTCCAGTCCTTGGTCAGTCCTGGGTCAGTCCTGGGTCAGTCCTTGGTCAGTCCTGGGTCAGTCCTGGGTCAGTCCTGGGTCAGTCCTTGGTCAGTCCTGGTCCAGTCCTGGGTCAGTCCTGGGTCAGTCCTGGTCCAGTCCCGGTCCAGTCCTGGGTCAGTCCTGGTCCAGTCCTGGGTCAGTCCTTGGTCCAGTCCTGGTCCAGTCCTGGGTCAGTCCTTGGTCAGTCCTGGTCCAGTCCTTGGTCAGTCCTGGTCCAGTCCTGGGTCAGTCCTTGGTCAGTCCTGGGTCAGTCCTGGGTCCAGTCCAGGGTCAGTCCTTGGTCAGTCCTGGTCCAGTCCTGGTCCAGTCCTGGGTCAGTCCTTGGTCAGTCCTGGGTCAGTCCTTGGTCAGTCCTGGGTCAGTCCTTGGTCAGTCCTGGTCCAGTCCTGGTCCAGTCCTGGGTCAGTCCTGGGTCAGTCCTGGTCCAGTCCTTGGTCAGTCCTGGGTCAGTCCTTGGTCAGTCCTGGGTCAGTCCTGGTCCAGTCCTTGGTCAGTCCTGGGTCAGTCCTGGGTCAGTCCTGAGTCAGTCCTGGGTCAGTCCTTGGTCAGTCCTGGGTCAGTCCTTGGTCAGTCCTGGGTCAGTCCTGGTCCAGTCCTGGTCCAGTCCTTGGTCAGTCCTTGGTCAGTCCTTGGTCAGTCCTGGTCCAGTCCTGGGTCAGTCCTGGGTCAGTCCTGGGTCAGTCCTTGGTCAGTCCTGGGTCAGTCCTGGGTCAGTCCTTGGTCAGTCCTGGGTCAGTCCTGGGTCAGTCCTTGGTCAGTCCTGGGTCAGTCCTGGTCCAGTCCTGGTCCAGTCCTTGGTCAGTCCTTGGTCAGTCCTTGGTCAGTCCTGGTCCAGTCCTGGGTCAGTCCTGGGTCCAGTCCAGGGTCAGTCCTTGGTCAGTCCTGGTCCAGTCCTGGTCCAGTCCTGGGTCAGTCCTTGGTCAGTCCTGGGTCAGTCCTTGGTCAGTCCTGGGTCAGTCCTTGGTCAGTCCTGGTCCAGTCCTGGTCCAGTCCTGGGTCAGTCCTGGGTCAGTCCTGGTCCAGTCCTTGGTCAGTCCTGGGTCAGTCCTTGGTCAGTCCTGGGTCAGTCCTGGTCCAGTCCTTGGTCAGTCCTGGGTCAGTCCTGGGTCAGTCCTGAGTCAGTCCTGAGTCAGTCCTGGGTCAGTCCTTGGTCAGTCCTGGGTCAGTCCTTGGTCAGTCCTGGGTCAGTCCTGGTCCAGTCCTGGTCCAGTCCTTGGTCAGTCCTTGGTCAGTCCTTGGTCAGTCCTGGTCCAGTCCTGGGTCAGTCCTGGGTCAGTCCTGGGTCAGTCCTTGGTCAGTCCTGGGTCAGTCCTGGGTCAGTCCTTGGTCAGTCCTGGGTCAGTCCTGGGTCAGTCCTTGGTCAGTCCTTGGTCAGTCCTGGTCCAGTCCTGGGTCAGTCCTTGGTCAGTCCTGGGTCAGTCCTTGGTCAGTCCTGGGTCAGTCCTTGGTCAGTCCTGGTACAGTCCTGGGTCAGTCCTGGGTCAGTCCTGGGTCAGTCCTTGGTCAGTCCTGGGTCAGTCCTGGGTCAGTCCTTGGTCAGTCCTGGGTCAGTCCTGGGTCAGTCCTTGGTCAGTCCTTGGTCAGTCCTGGTCCAGTCCTGGGTCAGTCCTTGGTCAGTCCTGGGTCAGTCCTGGTTGTTGTTTCAGACTCCAGTGTAAACTACAGAGACCTGATGTCGCTGCTGCAGCTCACACATCGCTCTGGTCCCAGCGTCAGGATCATCGTCTGCAAACGGGTCAGCTCTAAGTATACACACACATATATATATATATATATATATATATACACTGTATACAGGTGCAGTTACACAGGTGCAGTACTCACAGCTCTAAACTCACAGCTCTAAACTTTTCTTCAATGTTTTGTTACAGTTGAGTTTATCCCACGCTTTATTCTTTGGAATATTGATTGTGACTAATGCACTTGTCTATAGACATACATTATATATACATATGTATACATTATATGTATGTTATTATGCATGTGTATACATTATATATACATATGTATACATTATATGTATGTTATTATGCATGTGTATACATTATATATTCATATGTATACATTATATGTATGTTATTATGCATGTGTATACATTATATATTCATATGTATACATTATATGTATGTTATTATGCATATGTATACATTATATGTATGTTATTATGCATGTGTATACATTATATATACATATGTATACATTATATGTATGTTATTATGCATGTGTATACATTATATATTCATATGTATACATTATATATACATATGTATACATTATATATATGTTATTATGCATGTGTATACATTATATGTATGTTATTATGCATGTGTATACATTATATATACATATGTATACATTATATATATGTTATTATGCATGTGTATACGGAACAGTCTGCTGTGTGTCCAGGTGCTGCAGCTGCTGCAGTCGTGTCCGGAGGCTGCGGTGCAGATGTGCAGACAGCCGTGTTGGCAGGACACTCTGATGCGACTGTTCTTACGCTCAGATGGATCCATGCATCTTAAAAACTCAGACACCATCAGCACCTGTAGCTTAGACCGGAACACCTGTAGCTTTGACCAAAACACCTGTAGCTTTGACCGAAACACCTGTAGCTTAGACCGAAACACCAGCTCCAACCGCCTGGAGCTGCCCCTGGACAGATGCTATCGCACTGGGAGCACTGGGAGCACTGGGAGACCGGAGCGCCTGGAGGATGCCCTGAGCGTTGGAGAAACTCAGTCTGTGGACAGCCTGGAGAACGGTGATGTCACATCTCTGCTGGACACCCCCTGTTCTTCTGCCTCCACTGAGACTAAACCCTGGACCGTGGGGAAGACTCTGACCCTGGACCTGTCCCACCTCCAGGCCCACGAGGCTGGGGAGAGCGGGACGCAGACCCCTGGGAGCAGCACGCCCTCCCCCACCAACACCAAACCTTTCTCTGGGAACTACAGCGACAGAGAAGCCTCTCTGAACCAAGACGGATTCATGTTCACCGACAACATCTCTCTGGGAGAGTCCTGCAGTAACACAGAGGTCAGTAACACAGAGTCAGTAACACAGAGGTCAGTAACACAGAGTCAGTAACACAGAGGTCAGTAACACAGAGGTCAGTAACACAGAGTCAGTAACACAGAGTCAGTAACACAGAGTCAGTAACACAGAGTCAGTAACACAGAGGTCGTAACACAGAGGTCAGTAACACAGAGTCAGTAACACAGAGGTCAGTAACACAGAGGTCAGTAACACAGAGTCAGTAACACAGAGTCAGTAACACAGAGGTCAGTAACACAGAGGTCAGTAACACAGAGTCAGTAACACAGAGTCAGTAACACAGAGTCAGTAACACAGAGTCAGTAACACAGAGTCAGTAACACAGAGTCAGTAACACAGAGTCAGTCACACAGAGTCAGTCACACAGAGTCAGTCACACAGAGTCAGTAACACAGAGTCAGTAACACAGAGTCAGTAACACAGAGGTCAGTAACACAGAGGTCAGTAACACAGAGGTCAGTAACACAGAGTCAGTAACACAGAGTCAGTAACACAGAGTCAGTAACACAGAGTCAGTAACACAGAGTCAGTAACACAGTCAGTAACACACAGGTCAGTAACACACAGGTCAGTCACACAGAGTCAGTCACACAGAGTCAGTCACACAGAGTCAGTCACACAGAGTCAGTCACACAGAGTCAGTAACACAGAGTCAGTCACACAAAGTCAGTAACACAGAGTCAGTAACACAGAGTCAGTAACAGAGTCAGTAACACAGAGTCAGTAACACAGAGGTCAGTCACACAGAGTCAGTCACACAGAGGTCAGTCACACAGAGGTCAGTCACACAGAGGTCAGTAACACAGAGGTCAGTAACACAGAGGTCAGTAACACAGAGGTCAGTAACACAGAGGTCAGTAACACAGAGGTCAGTAACACAGAGGTCAGTAACACAGAGGTCAGTAACACAGAGTCAGTAACACAGAGTCAGTAACACAGAGTCAGTAACACAGAGGTCAGTCACACAGAGTCAGTCACACAGAGGTCAGTCACACAGAGGTCAGTCACACAGAGTCAGTAACACAGAGGTCAGTCACACAGAGTCAGTCACACAGAGGTCAGTCACACAGAGGTCAGTCACACAGAGGTCAGTAACACAGAGGTCAGTAACACAGAGGTCAGTAACACAGAGGTCAGTAACAGAGGTCAGTAACAGAGGTCAGTCACACAGAGTCAGTCACACAGAGTCGGTCACACAGAGTCAGTAACCAGAGGTCAGTCACACAGAGGTCAGTCACACAGAGTCAGTAACACTCTGTGTGTGTGTCTGCAGGAGGAGCTGGCCGTGGTGCTGATGCAGATGGTGTGTGTGTCATGTGTGTCTCTGCAGGAGGAGCTGGCCGTGGTGCTGATGCAGATGGTGTGTGTCATGTGTGTGTCTGCAGGAGGAGCTGGCCGTGGTGCTGATGCAGATGGTGTGTGTGTCATGTGTGTCTCTGCAGGAGGAGCTGGCCGTGGTGCTGATGCAGATGGTGTGTGTCATGTGTGTGTCTGCAGGAGGAGCTGGCCGTGGTGCTGATGCAGATGGTGTGTGTCATGTGTGTGTCTGCAGGAGGAGCTGGCCGTGGTGCTGATGCAGATGGTGTGTGTGTCATGTGTGTCTCTGCAGGAGGAGCTGGCCGTGGTGCTGATGCAGATGGTGTGTGTCATGTGTGTGTCTGCAGGAGGAGCTGGCCGTGGTGCTGATGCAGATGGTGTGTGTCATGTGTGTGTCTGCAGGAGGAGCTGGCCGTGGTGCTGATGCAGATGGTGTGTGTGTCATGTGTCTCTCTGCAGGAGGAGCTGGCCGTGGTGCTGATGCAGATGGTGTGTGTCATGTGTGTGTCTGCAGGAGGAGCTGGCCGTGGTGCTGATGCAGATGGTGTGTGTCTGCAGGAGGAGCTGGCCGTGGTGCTGATGCAGATGGTGTGTGTGTCTCTGCAGGAGGAGCTGGCCGTGGTGCTGATGCAGATGGTGATGTGTGTGATGTGGAGAGGGGTACAAGGCTCTGATGATGGATCGTGGTTAGAACGAGGACAAGTCTTCTCTGCTCTCACCAAACTGGGAACGACCAACGACCTGCTGCAGCCGCAGGACATCATCAAACTGAGGTTAGAGATCAGGTTAGCCATCGGGTTAGAGATCAGGTTAGACATCAGGTTATCAAACTCAAGAGATTCTTGAAACAGTGAATATTATCTGTATGTGCTGACCCTGTATGTGCTAACATGCTACATGTAGATGCTAACATGCTACAGGTAGATGCTAACATGCTATATGTATTGTAGGCTGATGGAGCAGATGCTGGAGTGGGCAGTAGCAGATAACCGTGAGGCATCAGCTGCCACTCTGCCCCAGCACACAGAGAACGCGGTCCGCCTACTCCACATGGTCCAGGACTTCCTCCAGGCCGAGGGCCTCATAAACCCGGCTCTATGGACTGAGAAGGTCCTGGAGGAGACCGTGGTCCTCATGGACAGCCTCATGGTGTGGTACTCCTCTGGGGCACAGTGGTTCCAGCTCTCGCAGGTTGGACTCAGGCTCCTGCTGGGATTCATGGCACAACAAGACACTGATGTGAGTTTTATAGTTTATTATTTAGAAATGTATGTACTATGAACATTAGTTTCATACATGTTATAAATATACATGTGCTCCTGCAGGTGTTTCATACATGTTATAAATGTATAAATGTGCTCCTGCAGGTGATTCATACATGTTATAAATATACAATGCCTTGCGAAAGTATTCGGCCCCCTTGAACCTTTCAACATTTCGCCACATTTCAGGCTTCAAACATAAAGATATAAAATTTTAATTTTTTGTCATGAACCAACAACAAGTGGGACACAATCGTGAAGTGGAACAAAATTTATCGGATAATTTAAACTTTTTTAACAAATAAAAAACTGAAAAGTGGGGCGTGCAATATTATTGGGCCCCTTTACTTTCAGTGCAGCAAACTCAGTCCAGAAGTTCAGTGAGGATCTTTGAATGATCCAATGTTGTCCTAAATGACTGATGATGATAAATAGAATGCACCTGTGTGTAATCAAGTCTCCGTATAAATGCACCTGCTCTTTGATAGTCTCAGGGTTCTGTTTAAAGCACAGAGAGAACCATGAAGACAAAGGAACACACCAGGCAGGTCCGAGATACTGTTGTGGAGAAGTTTAAAGCTGGATTTGGATACAAAAAGATTTCCCAAGCTTTAAACATCTCAAGGAGCACTGTGCAAGCAATTATATTGAAATGGAAGGAGTATCAGACCACTGCAAATCTACCAAGACCCCGTCGTCCCTCCAAACTTTCATCTCAAACAAGGAGAAGACTGATCAGAGATGCAGACAAGAGGCCCATGATCACTCTGGATGAACTGCAGATAACTACAGCTGAGGTGGGAGAGTCTGTCCATAGGACAACAATCAGTCGTGCACTGCACAAATCTGGCCTTTATGGAAGAGTGGCAAGAAGAAAGCCATTTCTCAAAGATATCCATAAAAAGTCTGGTTTAAAGTTTGCCACAAGCCACCTGGGAGACACACCAAACATGTGGAAGAAGGTGCTCTGGTCAGATGAAACCAAAATCAAACTTTTTGGACACAATGCAAAACGATATGTTTGGGGTAAAAGCAACACAGCTCATCACCCTGAACACACCATCCCCACTGTCAAACATGGTGGTGGCAGCATCATGCTTTGGGCCTGCTTTTCTTCAGCAGGGACAGGGAAGATGGCTAAAATTGATGGGAAGATGGATGGAGCCAAATACAGGACCATTCTGGAAGAAAACCTGTTGGAGTCTGCAAAAGACCTGAGACTGGGACGGAGATTTATCTTCCAACAGGACAATGATCCAAAACATAAAGCCAAATCTACAATGGAATGGTTCACAAATAGACGTATCCAGGTGTTAGAATGGCCAAGTCAAAGTCCAGACCTGAATCCAATCCAGAATCTGTGGAAAGAGCTGAAGACTGCTGTTCACAAACGCTCTCCATCCAACCTCACTGAGCTCCAGCTGTTTTGCAAGGAAGAATGGGCAAGAATTCCAGTCTCTCAATGTGCAAAACTGATAGAGACATACCCCAACCGACTTGCAGCTGTAATTGCAGCAAAAGGTGGCGCTACAAAGTATTAGCGCAAGGGGGCCGAATAATATTGCACGCCCCACTTTTCAGTTTTTTATTTGTTAAAAAAGTTTAAATTATCCAATAAATTTTGTTCCACTTCACGATTGTGTCCCACTGGGGCGACAGTAGCTCAGTTGGTAGTGCATTGGCCTTTGGGCCCAAAGGTCGTGGATTCGAGCCCACCACGGGACCTTCTCCACAGACTCCCACTGATGCCTGCTGTTGTTGTGTCCTTGGGCAAGACACTTAACCCACTTAGCCTATAAGGAGCGCGGATATGATGTTCGCTGCATGCCTTGATGTGTATGTGTATATATGTATGTACTATATGTGTATGCATCAAACTGAAATTTCCCCATTGTGGGACGAATAAAGGACCTTCTTTCTTTCTTGTTGTTGTTCTTGACAAAAAAAATAATTTTTATATCTTTATGTTTGAAGCCTGAAATGTGGCGAAATGTTGAAAGGTTCAAGGGGGCCGAATACTTTCGCAAGGCACTGTACATGTGGTCCTGCAGGTGATTCATACATGTTATAAATGTATAAATGTGCTCCTGCAGGTGATTCATACATGTTATAAATGTATAAATGTGCTCCTGCAGGTGATTCATACATGTTATAAATGTATAAATGTGCTCCTGAAGGTGATTCATACATGTTATAAATGTATAAATGTGCTCCTGAAGGTGATTCATACATGTTATAAATGTATAAATGTGCTCCTGAAGGTGATTCATACATGTTATAAATGTATAAATGTGCTCCTGCAGGTGATTCATACATGTTATAAATGTATAAATGTGCTCCTGAAGGTGATTCATACATGTTATAAATGTATAAATGTGCTCCTGAAGGTGATTCATACATGTTATAAATGTATAAATGTGCTCCTGAAGGTGATTCATACATGTTATAAATGTATAAATGTGCTCCTGAAGGTGATTCATACATGTTATAAATGTATAAATGTGCTCCTGAAGGTGATTCATACATGTTATAAATGTATAAATGTGCTCCTGAAGGTGATTCATACATGTTATAAATGTATAAATGTGCTCCTGAAGGTGATTCATACATGTTATAAATGTATAAATGTGCTCCTGAAGGTGATTCATACATGTTATAAATGTATAAATGTGCTCCTGAAGGTGATTCATACATGTTATAAATGTGCTCCTGCAGGTGATTCATACATGTTATAAATGTATAAATGTGCTCCTGCAGGTGATTCATACATGTTATAAATGTATAAATGTGCTCCTGCAGGTGATTCATACATGTTATAAATGTATAAATGTGCTCCTGAAGGTGATTCATACATGTTATAAATGTGCTCCTGAAGGTGATTCATACATGTTATAAATGTATAAATGTGCTCCTGAAGGTGATTCATACATGTTATAAATGTATAAATGTGCTCCTGAAGGTGATTCATACATGTTATAAATGTATAAATGTGCTCCTGAAGGTGATTCATACATGTTATAAATGTATAAATGTGCTCCTGAAGGTGATTCATACATGTTATAAATGTATAAATGTGCTCCTGAAGGTGATTCATACATGTTATAAATGTATAAATGTGCTCCTGAAGGTGTGTGCGATGGCCACTGCTAAACTCAACGGCGTCCTTCAGACCAAAGACGTGTCGAGTCAGGACGAGGCCTGTTACCTCCTGGGGAGAGTGGAGAGCATCCTGAGACGGGCCATCCAGGAGCACTCGGAGGAAACCTACTCCTTCCTGGTTCCTCTGATACGGACACTTCTGTCCAAAGTGCACCGTCTGCTCTACATGGAGCTGCACCTCCCTCAGCTCCCAGACACCAGCGCCTCCTTCTACGACGACTTTAGGATCTACTGCAACACTCCTGAATGGCGCGTCTACCTCGACAAATATGTGAGTGTGGTGCTATAGAGGTGCTAAACAGGTGATAAACAGGTGCTAAACATTATTATATTATTCTGTTGGATCATTATATTATTCTCTTGGATTATTATATTATTCTGTTGGATTATTATATTGTTGGATTATTATATTATTATGTTGGATTATTATATTCTGTTGGATTATAGTATTATTCTGTTGGATTATTTTATCATTTTGTTAGATTATATTATTCTGTTGGATTATAGTATTATTCTGTTGGATTATAGTATTATGTTGGATTTTTATATTATTCTGTTGGATTATAGTATTTTTATGTTGGATTATTATAATATTCTGTTGGATTATAGTATTTTTCTGTTGGATTAAAGTATTATTTTGTTGGATTATTATATTCTGTTGGATTATTTTATTATTTTGTTAGATTATAGTATTATTATGTTGGATTTTTATATTATTCTGTTGGATTATAGTATTATGTTGGATTTTTATATTCTGTTGGATTATAATATTATTATAATGGATTATTATATTATTCTGTTGGATTAAAGTATTTAGTTAGATTATTATATTATTCTGTTGGATTTTATTATTTTGTTGGATTATTATATTTATTTTGTTGTATTATAGTATTCTGTTGGATTATAGTATTATTCTGTTGGATTAAAGTATTCTGTTGGATTATTATATTATTCTGTTGGATTATTTTATTATTCTGTTGGATTATTTTATTATTTTGTTGGATTATAATATTATTCTGTTGGATTATAGTATTATTCTGTTGGATTATTTTATTATTTTGTTAGATTATAGTATTCTGTTGGATTATAGTATTATTCTGTTGGATTATTATATTATTCAGTTGGATTATAGTATTTTTCTGTTGGATTATTATATAATTCTGTTGGATTATAATATTATTCTAATGGATTATATTATTCTGTTGGATTTTATTATTTTGTTGGATTATTATATTTATTTTGTTGTATTATAGTATTCTGTTGGATTATAGTATTCTGTTGGATTATAGTATTATTCTGTTGGATTAAAGTATTCTGTTGGATTATTATAGTATTCTGTTGGATTATTATATTATTCTGTTGGATTATTATATTTATTTTGTTGTATTATAGTATTCTGTTGGATTAAAGTATTCTGTTGGATTATTATAGTATTCTATTGGATTATTATATTATTCTGTTGGATTATTTTGTTGGATTATTATATTTATTTTGATGTATTACAGTATTCTGTTGGATTATTATAGTATTTTGTTAGATTATTATATTATTCTGTTGGATTGTAACATTATTCTGTTGGATTATATAATCCTGTCTGTTCCTCCACAGATTATTCCGTACATGAAACAATATGAAATAGAAACCTTCAGTCAAGGACATGAAGCTATGGCTCTGTTCTGGAAAGAGAGCTACGAGACCTTCATGGTCAATCTGCACCGACGAGAGCGAGAGAGAGGAGAGAGCAAGCTCTGCTTACAGGTGAGGAGAGGGGACCCCTGGAGGCCCCTGGGGGCCCCTGCTTACATGTGTGTCTTTAGGAGCAGTTCCAGGAGCCGTTCTTCAGACGCAGTCGTCATGAAAACCTCAGATACAACAGTTTGTTAAAGCTGCAGCACAGTCACCACAGCGCCCTCGTCAGGCAGTGGAAGGCAGCGCGCAGAGGCCTGGTCTGTGAGAGAGGCCCCTGGGCCCACAGGTACACCTCCTTTATACATTTAGTCAGCCACCGATTGTGCAAGTTCTCCCACTTAAAATAATGACAGAGGTCTGTAATGTTCATCATAGGTTCACTTCAACTGTGAGAGACAGAATGTGAAAAAAAAATCCAGGAATTCACATTATAGGATTTTTAAATAATTTATTTGTAAATTATGGTGGAAAATAAGTATTTGGTCAATAACAAAAATTCAACTCAATACTTTGTAATATAACCTTTGTTGGCAATAACAGAGGTCAAACAATTACTATAGGTAAAATAGGCTGGTATTTTTGCCCATTCCTCCATGCAGATCTTCTCGAGAGCAGTGATGTTTTGGGGCTGTCGCCGAGCAACACAGACTTTCAACTCCCTCCACAGATTTTCAATGGGGTTGCGGTCTGGAGACTGGCTAGGCCACTCCAGGACTTTCAAATGCTTCTTACGTTTGGGATCATTGTCATGCTGGAAGACCCGGCCACGTTTCATCTTCAAAGCTCTCACTGATGGAAGGAGGTTTTGTCTCAAAATCTCACAATACATGGCCCCATTCATTCTTTCCTCGACACCGATCAGTCGTCCTGTCCCCTCAGCAGAAAAACAGCCCCAAAGCATGACGTTTCCACCCCCATGCTTCACAGTAGGTATGGTGTTCTTCTTCTTCCGAACACGACGAGTTGAGTTTATACCAAACAGTTCTACTTTGGTTTCATCTGACCACATGACATTCTCCCAATGTCAAGCGTTTTTCTTAATTTGTTGATTTCCCCCACGCTGAAAGGGGGTTGTACCCACAACTTGAGGATGTACAGAGGAATTTACTCAGTCCATTTAAAATGTTCTCCTTTTATTTGAAGTTTATTTTGTAAGCAGCAGTAGCATGCATCAGAGCATAAGCAGCAGGTAGCAAAAGTAGATGCAGAAGCAGAGCAGTTCAGCAGAACAGCAAACAGGTAAAAAACCTTTAGAAAAACACAGACAATACCCAACATCAGAAACCCAAACCATAAAAGCATGCTTACAATTGACCCAAACAATTCAATTTAGCATGATTAATGAGCCTCAGTGAATGAAAGAATTTCCCCAAATTAGCACAATTAATAATAGAATATCACGTTTCAATAATTCTGTACACAAATGCAAATTCATCCATCCATCCATCCATCTATCCATTTTCTTCCGCTTTATCCGTTGCCGGGTCGCGGGGGCAGCAGTCTAAGCAGAGACGCCCAGACTTCCCTATCCACACACACCTCCTCCAGCTCGTCCGGGGGGACCCCAAGGCGTTCCCAGGCCAGCTGAGAGACACAGTCCCTCCAGCGTGTCCTGGGTCTTCCCCGGGGCCTCCTCCCGGTGGGACGTGCCCGGAACACCTCCCCACTCACCTCATCTCTGTACACAAATGCAAATTCATTACATTAATATCATTAATTAATCATCAATACTAAATACATTCATTATATTAGTGATAATGCTGTTTTAACTACAGTTGAACCTGATGAAATCTCACACAACAAAGAGACAAAGTTAATATTTTACTTGTTACATTGTCACAAGGAGAATGTCTTGACAGAGGCAAGGCACAGACCCTAGCCTCTCTCAGGACAAGTCTGAAGATTCAGAGTCTGCAAGCCCCTTTTGGTAAAACAAGACTCAAGATTCAAGATTTTTATTTGTCAAACCAAGTGAATGGTTTGAAATTATATTTCTCTCATCCTTGATTGTGGAGCGGGGGGGGGAAGAGGGGTGGGAGGGAGGGCAGGGAGTTCAGCTTCCTGATGGCCTTGTGAATGAAACTGTTTTTAAGTCGACTGGAACTGTTCCGTAAATTCTGCAGTCTCCTCCCTGAAGGCCCCTGAAGAGCCTGTGTGATGGGTGCGTAGGGCCCCTGGTGATTCTGACGGCTTTGCGGGTGAGACGGGTGGAGTACATGTCCTTAATGGTGGGGAGAGGGGCTCCACAGATCTTCTCTGCTGCTCTCCTTCGGCAGGAGGCAGTGCTGGTGCCGTGCCACCCAGTGATGGGGCTGGTCAGGATGCTCTCTACAGTCCCTCTGTAGAAGTTGCACACAACGGAGGCCGGGACTCCTGTAGGGACTCCTGTAGGGACTCCTGTAGGGACTCCTGTAGGGACTCCTGTAGGGACTCCTGTAGGGACTCCTGTAGGGACTCCTGTAGGGACTCCTGTAGGGACTCCTGTAGGGACTCCTGTAGGGACTCCTGTAGGGCCTCCTGTAGGGACTCCTGTAGGGACTCCTGTAGGGCCTCCTGTAGGGACTCCTGTAGGGACTCCTGTAGGGCCTCCTGTAGGGACTCCTGTAGGGACTCCTGTAGGGACTCCTGTAGGGACTCCTGTAGGGACTCCTGTAGGGACTCCTGTAGGGCCTCCTGTAGGGACTCCTGTAGGGACTCCTGTAGGGCCTCCTGTAGGGACTCCTGTAGGGACTCCTGTAGGGCCTCCTGTAGGGACTCCTGTAGGGCCTCCTGTAGGGCCTCCTGTAGGGACTCCTGTAGGGACTCCTGTAGGGACTCCTGTAGGGCCTCCTGTAGGGACTCCTGTAGGGACTCCTGTAGGGACTCCTGTAGGGCCTCCTGTAGGGACTCCTGTAGGGACTCCTGTAGGGACTCCTGTAGGGACTCCTGTAGGGACTCCTGTAGGGCCTCCTGTAGGGACTCCTGTAGGGACTCCTGTAGGGACTCCTGTAGGGCCTCTTGTGACGCCTCCACTGTGCTGCAGATGCGTGGGGCCCTCGGTGGGGCCCTCGGTGGGGCCCTCGGTGACCTGTCAGCGCTTCAGAAGATGATATCTCTGGATTTGTAGGTCTTAAATACTGCTCAAAAAGCCTTTAGCTCAGATGCTAACTGTGTGTTTACTTTTAAAAACACATCCTCTGTTTATTGCTAGCAAAGAGCTTTGGCAGTAAAAAATCCGCTGAACTCCACAAAAACATGGCAAAGATGTACAACAACATCTTGCAAAACAATGCGGATCACAAAAACTGCAAATGCAGTTTGCAGAAAAGGGTAGAAAAGGGTAGAAACGTCACCTTGTCAAGAGAGAGAGAAGCCGCAGCATGTTCATGCGCCGCCATGGCAACAAGGACACACCTTCGTATGCAGAATAGGAAAGGAAGAAACCAACACAACAAAAGACACTCTGTATTAGCGTATACAAAGACTGCTTCCTCTGGTGTTTAACATATGAGCTCCCCAGACCTCCCGGAGTCTTGCAGGAGCTAAAGTGAATTACAATACAGAGCATTCAGCACATAGCCACATATGATTTACCACAATGATAACTTAAGTTACATTCCAATATCATTCCCTCCTTTTTATCCTTTTGATAAATCAAACAATCTATGTTTAAACATGGAGAACATGGATGACTCACAATTAAAAAACACACATCAAAACTGGAAAAAAATGTTTTTCATAGTATAATTTCATATTGTTATTCCATAAACCATTCCCCCTATTGAGACATACATGGCTCAAAACTGAACAATGTATTAACTTGAAATGTATTATGTGTCACCTTCAATTCTCACGTCCATTTACAGTGCCCTGCGAAAGTATTCGGCCCCCTTGAACCTTTCAACATTTCGCCACATTTCAGGCTTCAAACATAAAGATATAAAAAATAATTTTTTTGTCAAGAATCAACAACAAGTGGGACACAATCGTGAAGTGGAACAAAATTTATTGGATAATTTAAACTTTTTTTTAACAAATAAAAAACTGAAAAGTGGGGCGTGCAATATTATTCGGCCCCCTTTGCGCTAATACTTTGTAGCGCCACCTTTTGCTGCAATTACAGCTGCAAGTCGCTTGGGGTATTTCTCTATCAGTTTTGCACATCAAGAGACTGGAATTCTTGCCCATTCTTCCTTGCAAAACAGCTGGAGCTCAGTGAGGTTGGATGGAGAGCGTTTGTGAACAGCAGTTGAAGAAGATGACATGTCTGGGATCGCGTCTTTAATTCAGACAGAAGACATGTTTTATTGTCGATGGTAGAGACAGCACGAACAACACGAACAACAGAATGCAAGTGTATTATACAGAGTGGAGGCATGGAGACCTCCAATCAGCAGCTGCCACAGTGCCATGTAGCTTGGCCTTCAGATAGACACAACAAGGGAAAAGTACAGGCTTCTGCACATTGATAGAATGATGAGTTTAACTTTAACAAAAGTTGCTTCAAAGTGTTATGAAATCTCACACAGTCTTCAGCTCTTTCCACAGATTCTCGATTGGATTCAGGTCTGGACTTTGACTTGGCCATTCTAACACCTGGATACGTCTATTTGTGAACCATTCCATTGTAGATTTGGCTTTATGTTTTGGATCATTGTCCTGTTGGAAGATAAATCTCCGTCCCAGTCTCAGGTCTTTTGCAGACTCCAACAGGTTTTCTTCCAGAATGGTCCTGTATTTGGCTCCATCCATCTTCCCATCAATTTTAGCCATCTTCCCTGTCCCTGCTGAAGAAAAGCAGGCCCAAAGCATGATGCTGCCACCACCATGTTTGACAGTGGGGATGGTGTGTTCAGGGTGATGAGCTGTGTTGCTTTTACGACAAACATATCGTTTTGCATTGTGGCCAAAAAGTTTGATTTTGGTTTCATCTGACCAGAGCACCTTCTTCCACATGTTTGGTGTGTCTCCCAGGTGGCTTGTGGCAAACTTTAAACCAGACTTTTTATGGATATCTTTGAGAAATGGCTTTCTTTTTGCCACTCTTCCATAAAGGCCAGATTTGTGCAGTGCACGACTGATTGTTGTCCTATGGACAGACTCTCCCACCTCAGCTGTAGTTATCTGCAGTTCATCCAGAGTGATCATGGGCCTCTTGGCTGCATCTCTGATCAGTCTTCTCCTTGTTTGAGATGAAAGTTTGGAGGGACGGGCCGGGTCTTGGTAGATTTGCAGTGGTCTGATACTCCTTCCATTTCAATATAATTGCTTGCACAGTGCTCCTTGAGATGTTTAAAGCTTGGGAAATCTTTTTGTATCCAAATCCGGCTTTAAACTTCTCCACAACAGTATCTCGGACCTGCCTGGTGTGTTCCTTTGTCTTCATGGTTCTCTCTGTGCTTTAAACAGAACCCTGAGACTATCAAAGAGCAGGTGCATTTATACAGAGACTTGATTACACACAGGTGCATTCTATTTATCATCATCAGTCATTTAGGACAACATTGGATCATTCAAAGATCCTCACTGAACTTCTGGACTGAGTTTGCTGCACTGAAAGTAAAGGGGCCCAATAATATTGCACGCCCCACTTTTCAGTTTTTTATTTGTTAAAAAAGTTTAAATTATCCGATAAATTTTGTTCCACTTCACGATTGTGTCCCACTTGTTGTTGATTCATGACAAATGAAATGTGGCGTAATGTTGAAAGGTTCAAGGGGGCCGAATACTTTGTATACTACTACACTGTATACTAGCGTGCACGTACATAACTTATATGTGCCCCTGTTTACAGAAAAAGACCCGGAAGCGCCGGTCCGTTCACTTAAATAGTCCTGGTTACTCAGAGTTCCGGGCGCGCGCATAGACAGACTAGCCCCCGCAAATAACGCTACACCCAATCCTCTGCTGTATCATCCATGTGCTCTCTGGCAAACTTCAGACGGGCCTGGACATGCACTGGCTTCAGCAGGGGGACACGTCTGGCACTGCAGGATTTGATTCCCTGTCGTCGTAGTGTGTTACTGATGGTAACCTTTGTTACTTTGGTCCCAGCTCTCTGCAGGTCATTCACCAGGTCCCCCCGTGTGGTTCTGGGATTTTTGATCACCGTTCTCATGATCATTTTGACCCCACGGGATGAGATCTTGCGTGGAGCCCCAGATCGAGGGAGATTATCAGTGGTCTTGTATGTCTTCCATTTTCTGATAATTGCTCCCACAGTTGATTTGTTCACACCAAGCTGCTTGCCTATTGTAGATTCACTCTTCCCAGTCTGGTGCAGGTCTACAGTTCTTTTCCTGGTGTCCTTGGACAGCTCTTTGGTCTTGGCCATAGTGGAGTTTGGAGTCTGACTGTTTGAGGCTGTGGGCAGGTGTCTTTTATACAGATAACTAGTTCAAACAGGTGCCATTAATACAGGTAACAAGTGGAGGACAGAAGAGCTTCTTAAAGAAGAAGTTGCAGATCTGTGAGAGCCAGAGATCTTCCTTGTTTGAAGTGACCAAATACTTATTTTCCACCATCATTTACAAATAAATTCTTAAAAAATCCTACAATGTGAATTCCTGGATTTTGTTTCCACATTCTGTCTCTCACAGTTGAAGTGAACCTATGATGAACATTACAGACCTCTGTCATTATTTTAAGTGGGAGAACTTGCACAATCGGTGGCTGACTAAATACTTTTTGCCCCACTGTACATATATACAAATATATGTGTTTATTGTGTGTGTGTTGCAGGACTCAGGAGCAGACTTATTGGAGATTGTCCACTGCAGAAAACTTCTCAAGGATGAGGTTAAAGTTGGTTCGAAATCACAGCTTCAATGATCACAGAGAGGCCAGCGCCCTCAGGGACAATCTGGGTACGGGTTATGAACATATATATATATGTATACTTTAGGTATATGTATATATATATATATATATATATATATATATACACTGCATATATATATATATATATTCCTAAAGTCCTCACCTTGCAGTCTGACACTGTGTTTCTCTTCCTAAAGTCCTCACTTTGCAGTCTGACACTGTGTTTCTCTTCCTAAAGTCCTCACTTTACAGTCTGACACTGTGTCCTCAGGGGTCCACCAGCAGCGCCTGAGCCCTGACTCCATCCTCCTGGAGGCAGTGAAACAGGTCAAAGTCAGTGATTTGGAAGAAGACATTTTGGAGCTGCCAGAAGAAGACCCCGGCTCTGCCATTAACCAGTCAGTATCTATAGTATCTATAGCATCTGTAGTATAGTAGATCTATCTATAGGAGATCTATCTATAGGAGATCTATCTATAGGAGAGGGTCTCACTACATTATACTGTTTGTTTCCTACAGATAGATAGATGGATGGATAGATAGAGACTCATTTGAGCCCTGCAGGACTGCAAAAAAAATAAAATAAAATGGATCATTCTAAAAAGCTAACATTAGTAATAATCGGCAACAGCCTCAGTTCATAGCAGCAGAGGTGGAGTAGCCTCTGGGTGGAGCAGGACGGGTCACAGCAGCAGAGGTGGAGTAGCCTCTGGGTGGAGCAGGACGGGTCACAGCAGCAGAGGTGGAGTAGCCTCTGGGTGGAGCAGGACAGGTCACAGCAGCAGAGGTGGAGTAGCCTCTGGGTGGAGCAGGACGGGTCACAGCAGCAGAGGTGGAGTAGCCTCTGGGTGGAGCAGGACAGGTCACAGCAGCAGATGTGGAGTAGCCTCTGGGTGGAGCAGGACGGGTCACAGCAGCAGAGGTGGAGTAGCCTCTGGGTGGAGCAGGACAGGTCACAGCAGCAGAGGTGGAGTAGCCTCTGGGTGGAGCAGGACAGGTCACAGCAGCAGAGGTGGAGTAGCCTCTGGGTGGAGCAGGACGGGTCACAGCAGCAGAGGTGGAGTAGCCTCTGGGTGGAGCAGGACAGGTCACAGCAGCAGATGTGGAGTAGCCTCTGGGTGGAGCAGGACGGGTCACAGCAGCAGAGGTGGAGTAGCCTCTGGGTGGAGCAGGACAGGTCACAGCAGCAGAGGTGGAGTAGCCTCTGGGTGGAGCAGGACAGGTCACAGCAGCAGAGGTGGAGTAGCCTCTGGGTGGAGCAGGACGGGTCACAGCAGCAGAGGTGGAGTAGCCTCTGGGTGGAGCAGGACAGGTCACAGCAGCAGATGTGGAGTAGCCTCTGGGTGGAGCAGGACAGGTCACAGCAGCAGAGGTGGAGTAGCCTCTGGGTGGAGCAGGACAGGTCACAGCAGCAGAGGTGGAGTAGCCTCTGGGTGGAGCAGGACAGGTCACAGCAGCAGAGGTGGAGTAGCCTCTGGGTGGAGCAGGACAGTTCACAGCAGCAGAGGTGGAGTAGCCTCTTGGTTCGGACCATTTTGACCCCATCAGTAACCAGTCAGTGCCTATAAGTATCTATAGAAGTATAGATACTATAGATACAATTTCTATCTATAGAAGAGGGTCTCAGCAGAGACTGCAGCAGAGACTCCATCAGTGAATAAGATTCTATCTAATCAATCAATCAAGGCCGGCCGCGTACTCTAATTTTCCGCGCTCCTTATGACAGTTATTCAACAGCAGAGAGCAAAACAGACACATATTTCAACAAACATGGGAGAGACACGGTACATGTGGAAAACATGCAGATCTTTTTAATGGGAAGTCATCACTCTGGCCCGCCTCGTCCAATCGCGTCAGAGGGGAGTGTGGGTGGGGGAGGTGGAGGGGAAGACCACCATAGACTGAAAAGAGAGGGAGGCAGACATGTAGAAGGGGGGGACTGTAACTGGTGTTCTAGGTTGTGAGTCTTTAAAATAATATTTAAATTTTGCAGTTTGTATGATGTCATGATGTCGTTTTAAACTGATTTCTTTAGTAAACATGTGAGTAAATGTTTCTCAGAGCGGAGGTAGACGAGGAGCAGAAGGAGAAGCTGGTTCTGTGGGAGGACTGTGAGCTGGTGACCATCGTGGACGTGGCGTCTGGACGTCTGGAACTGACCACGCAACACATCTACTTCTACGACAGCAGCCAGGAGAAGGACGAAGGCATCTATATACTTATATCTATTTATTTACATATTCTTTTATAGATATATACATCTATAAAAAAAATATTTTTATTGCAAAGAAAAAACTATTGTTATTGCAATACCAAACACTCATATCGAATATCGCTCTAATTTCGCACCTGTGTATTCCTGTTGTACCTGTGTATTCATGTTGTACCTGTGTATTCATGTTGTACCTGTGTAGTCATGTTGTACCTGTGTGTTCATGTTGTACCTGTGTGTTCATGTTGTACCTGTGTATTCATGTTGTACCTGTGTATTCATGTTGTACCTGTGTAGTCATGTTGTACCTGTGTGTTCATGTTGTACCTGTGTATTCATGTTGTACCTGTGTGTTCATGTTATACCTGTGTACAGGACTGGGCCATGACTTCAAATGGCCGTTATCACAAATTAGAGAAGTGCATCTGCGCAGATACAACCTGCGACGATCTGCTTTGGAAATATTTCTCATCGATCAAACCAGTTACTTCCTGAACTTCAAGAAAGAGGTGAAGAACGACTGTAACGACTGTAAACTACTAACGACTGTAGATGACTGTAACGACTGTAAACTACTAACGACTGTAGATGACTAACGACTGTAAACAACTGTAAAAACTGTAAACAACTGTAAGAACTATAGATGACTAACGACTAACAACTAACGACTAAACAACTAACGACTGTAAACAACTGTAGATGACTGTAACAACTAACAACTGTAGATGACTAACGACTGTAGATGACTAACGACTGTAGACGACTAACGACTGTAAACAACTGTAACAACTGTAAACAACTAATGACTGTAAGGACTGTAGACTACTAACGACTGTAAGGACTGTAGACTACTAACGACTGTAGACGACTGTAGATGACTAACGACTAACGACTGTAGATGACTGTAAACACTGTAAAAACTGTAAACAACTAACGACTGTAGACTACTAACTATCTACAATTGTAGATGGCTGTAACGACTAACAACTGTAGATGATTAACAACTGTAACGACTGTAAACAACTAACGACTGTAGATGACTAATGACTATAACGACTGTAGATAACTATAGATGACTAACGACTATAACGACTGTAACAACTGTAGATGACTAACGACTGTAAACAACTAACGACTGTAGATGACTAACGACAATAACGACTGTAGATGACCAACTACTAAAATGACTTTAGATGAGTAACGACTGTAGATGACTGTAGATGACTGTAATGACTATAACGACTGTAGATGACTGTAATGACTGCAATGACTAACGACTGTAGATGACTGTAACAACTGTAGACGACTGTAGACAAATGTAACGACTAACGACTAGCGACTGTAACAACTGTAAATGACTGAGTAAAGACTGTAGATGACTGTAGACGACTGTAGATGAGTAAAGACTAACAACTGTAACGACTGTAGACAACTAACGACTGTAGATGACTTTAGATGACTAACGACTGTAGATGACTGTAATGACTGTAGACGAATGTAACGACTAGCGACTGTAACGACTGTAGATGAGTAAAGACTAACAACTGTAACGACTGTAGACGACTGTAGACAACTAACGACTGTAGATTAGTAAAGACTAACGACTGTAGATGACTGTAACGACTGTAGATTAGTAAAGACTGTAACGACTAACGACTGTAGATTAGTAAAGACTGTAACGACTGTAGACGACTGTAGATTAGTAAAGACTGTAACAACTGTAACGACTGTAGACGACTGTAGATGACTAACGACTGTAGATGACTAACGACTGTAAACAACTGTAACAACTAAACAACTAACGACTGTAGACCGCTCTAACGACTGTAGACGACTATAACGACGTGAGATGACTAACGACTTTAGATTACTGTAACGACTGTAGACGACTAACAACTGTAGATGACTAAGTACTGTAAACAACTAACGACTGTAACGACTGTAGACCACTAACGACCAGTAAGTAAGTAATCTTTATTTATATACAGACTATAATGACTTTAGATGACTGTAACGACTGTAGACGACTGTAGATGACTAACAACTGTAGATGACTAACGACTATAACAACTTTAGATGACTGCAACGACTAACAACTGTAGATGACTGTAACGACTGTAGACGACTGTAGATGACTAACAACTGTAGATGACTAACGACTATAACGACTTTAGATGACTGCAACGACTAACAACTGTAGATGACTGTAACAACTGTAGACGACTGTAGATGACTAATGACTATAATGACTGTAGATGACTAATGACTGTAGACGACTAACAACTAGCGACTGTAACAACTGTAAATGACTAACGACTGTAACGACTGTAGACAACTAACGACTAGATGACTAACTACTGTAACCACTGTAGACGACTAACGACTGTAGACGACTAACGACTGTAGACGACTAACGACTGTAGACGACTAACGACTGTAGACAACTAACGACTGTAACGACTGTAGATGACTAACGACTGTTAACGACTAACGACTGTAGATGACTAATGACTAACGACTGTAGACAACTAACGACAGTAGATGACTAGCGACTGTAGATGACTGTAACGACTGTAGATGAGTAAAGACTGTAACAACTGTGACGACTGTAGACAACTGACTGTAGATGACTAACGACTGTAATGACTATAGATGACTGTAACGAGTGTAGATGAATAACGACTGTAATGGCTATAGATGACTGTAACGAGTGTAGATGACTAACGACTGTAATGGCTATAGATGACTGTAACGAGTGTAGATGACTAACGACTGTAATGGCTATAGATGACTGTAACGAGTGTAGATGACTAACGACTAAACGAGTGTAGATGACTAACGACTGTAATGGCTATAGATGACTGTAACGAGTGTAGATGACTAACGACTGTAATGGCTATAGATGACTAATGAGTGTAGATGACTAACGACTAAACGAGTGTAGATGACTAACGACTAAACGACTGTAGATGACTAACGACTAAACGACTGTAGATGACTAAACAACTGTAGACAACTAACGACTGTAGATGACTGTAACGACTGTAGACAACTAACGACTGTAGACGAGTGTAGACAACTAACGACTGTAGATGACTAACGACTGTAGATGACTAACGACTGTAGATGACTAACGACTGTAGATGACTAACAACTGTAGATGACTAACGACTGTAGATGAGTAAAGACTTGAACGACTGTAGACGACTGTAGATGACTCTAGATGACTATAACGACTGTAGATGACTAACGACTAGATGACTGTAATGACTATATGACTGTAACGACTGTAGATGACTAACGACTGTAGATGACTGTAACGACTGTAGATGACTAACGACTGTAGATGACTGTAGACAACTAACAACTGTAGACAACTAACGACTGTAGATGACTGACGACTGTAGATGAGTAAAGACTGTAGATGACTGTAGACAACTAACAACTGTAGACAACTAACGACTGTAGATGACTGTAGACAACTAACAACTGTAGACAACTAACGACTGTAGATGACTGACGACTGTAGATGAGTAAAGACTGTAGATGACTGTAGACAACTAACAACTGTAGACAACTAACGACTGTAGATGACTGACGACTGTAGATGAGTAAAGACTGTAACAACTAACGACTGTAGACAACTAACGACTGTAGATGACTGTAACGACTGTAGACAAGTGTAGACGACTACTGTAGACAACTAACAACTGTAGATGACTAACGACTGTAGACGACTGTAGATGACTCTAGATGACTAACGACTGTAGATGACTGTAACGACTGTAGATGACTGTAACGACTGTAGATGACTGTAGACGACTGTAGATGACTGTAGATGACTGTGACGACTGTAGATGACTGTAACGACTGTAGATGACTGTAACGACTGTAGATGACTGTAGACGAGATGACTGTAGACGACTGTAGATGACTGTAGATGACTGTGACGACTGTAGATGACTCTAGATGACTAACGACTGTAGATGACTGTAACGACTGTAGATGACTGTAGATGACTGTGACGACTGTAGATGACTGTAGATGACTGTGACGACTGTAGATGAGTAAAGACTGTAACAACTAACGACTGTAGACGATTGTAGATGACTAACAACGTTTGAGTAACGACTGTAGGCGACTGTAGACAACTACAGTATAATAATAGTAATAATAATAATAATGAAGAAAAAGCTTTGTTTACAGAAAACTACAAATATTAAACCTTCTATATTGTCTTTTTGTTTTAACCTCAGGTCAGAAACAGAGTCTACAGCCGCCTGCTACAGCTGCGATCACTCACTCTGCACGGAACACGCTCTCCACAGGAGCTACTGAAGGCATCAGGACTCACACAGGTGGGAGCACCAAGGAAGCCCAGAGGAAGCCCAGAGGAAGCCCAGAGGAGGCCCAGAGGAGGCCCAGAGGAGGCCCAGAGGAGGCCCAGAGGAGGCCCAGAGGAGGCCCAGAGGAGGTCCAGAGGAGGTCCAGAGGAGGCCCAGAGGAGGTCCAGAAGCGGCCTGAGAGGAGGCCCAGAGGAAGCTCAAAGGAGGTCCAGAGGCGGCCTCCGAGGAGGCTCAGAGGAGGCTCAGAGGAGGCTCAGAGGAGGCTCAGAGGAGGCTCAGAGGAGGCTCAGAGGAGGTCCAGAGGAGGTCCAGAGGAGGTCCAGAGGAGGCTCAGAGGAGGCTCAGAGGAGGCTCAGAGGAGGCTCAGAGGAGGCCCAGAGGAGGTTCAGAGGAGGCTCAAAGGAGGCTCAAAGGAGGTCCAGAGGAGGCTCAAAGGAGGTCCAGAAGCGGCCTGAGAGGAGGCCCATAGGAAGCTCAAAGGAGGTCCAGAGGCGGCCTCCGAGGAGGCCCAGAGGAGGCCCAGAGGAGGCCTTCTCCTCAATAGAAAGATTAAAGCCTGTAACAGTTTAAAGTTAATGTTTCCTGGTTCTCAGATTAAACCAGTTTAAAGATGATGTTTCCTGGTTCTCAGAATAAACCAGTTTAAAGATGACGTTTCCTGGTTCTCAGATTAAACCAGTTTAAAGATGATGTTTCCTGGTTTCAGAGATGGGTGCAGAGGGACATCTCTAACTTCGACTATCTGATGCAGCTCAACACCATCGCAGGAAGAACCTACAACGACCTCGCTCAGTATCCAGTGGTCAGTCCCACTACTTTATTATTATGTTCTTTAGTTTAGAACATTATTATTATTATTATTATTATTATTATTATGTTTTTTAGTTTAGAACATTATTATGTTCTTTAGTTTAGAACATTATTATTATTATTATGTTTTTTAGTTTAGAACATTATTATTATGAGATTCAGATTCATTTATTTGCCATTTGCAGTAAAACCACATTGGAATACGTTAGCAAAAGTCTCCAGTGTGCACAGACAAATACAGACATAAAACAAATAAAACAGTAAACAAATGTCACTGTGAAATGGATCGACTAAAACAGTTTCAAAACAAGTGCAAATCATTAAAGTGCTCTGTTCACACTGATAACAGCCTGTGGATAAAAACTGTTAGCGTAACGAGATGTCCTGCATCTCAGAGAGCGATATCTTCTGCCAGAGGGAAGAAGCTGGAACATGGCTTTCCCAGGGTGGCCAGAAGAGTCATTAACAATCCTAAGAGCTTTGTTAAAAAGTCTGGATTTATAAAGAACCTCCAGAACAGGAAGCTCACAGCCCACGGTCCTCTTTGCAGAGCGGAGCACCTTGTTTAAAGCTCTCTTTTCTTTATCTGTGATGTTTCCAAACCACACAGACACAGAACCAACAAGTAAACTCTCAATGGTGCAGCCATAAAAGTTAAGCACAATCTTAGAGTTAGTGGTAAATTCTCTAAGTTTCCGCAGAAAGTAGAGACGCTGACGAGCTTTCTTAACGACTCGGTCAGTGTTTTTAACCCATTTCAGGTTAGACAGAGTTAAACCCAGAAACTTGCTCCTCTACGATCTGCACCTGGGAGTTGTCGATTACGACAGGCAAATGAGAACTATTGCGACTGAAGTCGTGACCAGTTCACATGTTTTGGATGCGTTCAGCTGGAGGTTGTTAGTTTGACTCCACTGAAGCACATTTTGTATCTCTGCTCTATAAGAGGATTCATCAGTGTCACTGATGAGACCGATGATGGTGGTGTCATCAGCATATTTGATGAGGACACACAATCGTGAGTGTACAAAGTAAAAAGCAAAGGACTCAAAATACATCCCTGAGGAGAACCAGTGCTCACAGAAACAACATCAATAGTCGAATGGCGCCGTAAAGATGGCGCCGTGGCAAGAGCTCTGGTGTGTGTCTGGTGCACACTGGGTAGTCTTGCACAGTTTTTCCTATGTGGTTTTACTGCAAATGGCAAATAAATGAATCTGAATCTGAATAATAATAATAATTATTATTATTATGTTTTTCAGTTTAGAACATTATTATTATTATTATTATGTTCTTTAGTTTAGAACATTATTATTATTATTATTATTATTATTATTATTATTATGTTCTTTAGTTTGTATTATTATTATTATTATTATTATTATTATTTTCTTTAGTTTAGAACATTATTATTATTATTATGTTCTTTAGTTTGAATTATTATTATTATTATTATTATTATTATGTTCTTTAGTTTGTATTATTATTATTATTATTATTATTATTATTTTCTTTAGTTTAGAACATTATTATTATTATTATGTTCTTTAGTTTGAATTATTATTATTATTATTATTATTATTATGTTCTTTAGTTTAGAACATTATTATTATTATTATTATTATTATTATTATTATTATTATTATTATTATTATTCTTTAGTTTGTATTATTATTATTATTATTATTATTATTATTATTTTCTTTAGTTTTAGAACATTATTATTATTATTATGTTCTTTAGTTTGAATTATTATTATTATTATTATTATTATTATGTTCTTTAGTTTAGAACATTATTATTATTATTATGTTCTTTAGTTTGAATTATTATTATTATTATTATTATTATGTTCTTTAGTTTAGAACATTATTATTATTATTATTATTATTATGTTTAGTTTAGAACAATATTATTATTATTATTATGTTCTTTAGTTTGTATTATTATTATTATTATTATTATTATTATGTTCTTTAGTTCAGAACATTATTATTATTATGTTCTTTAGTTTAGAACATTATTATTATTATTATTATGTTCTTTAGTTTAGAACATTATTATTATTATTATGTTCTTTAAGGTGTGTTCAGACCAAACGCGTCTTGAGCGTCCAAAGCGTCGGGTTTACATTGACATAACATTGATATAACATTGATATAACATTGATATAACATTGATATAACATTGATATAACATTGATATAACATTGATATAACATTGATATAACATTGATATAACATTGATATAACATTGATATAACATTGATATAACATTGATATAACATTGATATAACATTGATATAACATTGACATAACATTGATATAACATTGACATAACATTGATATAACATTGATATAACATTGACATAACATTGATATAACATTGACATAACATTGATATAACATGGGGACGCGCGTCTAGGAGCGTTAAGAGATCACGCGGTGCGTCTCGCGCCTCCCGAGCAGCGCCTCCCGAGCAGCGCCTCCCGAGCAGCGCCTCCCGAGCAGCGCCTCCCGAGCAGCGCCTCCCGAGCAGCGCCTCCAGTGCAGCGCCTCCCGAGCAGCGCCTCCCGAGCAGCGCCTCCCGAGCAGCGCCTCCCGAGCAGCGCCTCCCGAGCAGCGCCTCCCGAGCAGCGCCTCCCGAGCAGCGCGTCTTCGAGCGTTTCGCACGTTTTAAGATTTCAAGCGTCTTGACGCGTGAAGCGACGCTCGAGTTGAACAATGTTGAACTTTTCGGGAGAAGACGCGAGCATCGACCAATCAGGAGCCTCCTCCAACAGTGACGTAACGCATTTCACGGCAGGACCGAGGGGGACGACAACACAACAGCTGTGGACAAGCTGTGCTGTTAACCATGAGCCCTGCAGACTATAACAGTGACATGGAGGAGGTCAGTTATTTAAACTTTTCACAATCGTTAATACTTCCCTGAACAATATCTGTATCTAATATATATGTCTATCTAATATATATGTAATATATGTCATCTTTAGGGAGAAACAAACCCACAGATTATATATTAAAGCTACACAGAGGAAACAGTCCATGGAGACAGCAGCTGTAGTATGCTAACATGTAGCATGCTAACATGTAGTATGCTAACATGTAGCATGCTAACATGTAGTAGGCTAACATGTAGTATGCTAACATGTAGCATGCTAACATGTAGTAGGCTAACATGTAGTATGCTAACATGTAGCATGCTAACATGTAGCATGCTAACATGTAGCATGCTAACATGTAGCATGCTAACATGTAGTATGCTAACATGTAGTATGCTAACATGTAGTATGCTAACATGTAGTATGCTAACATGTAGTAGCTAACATGTAGTATGCTAACATGTAGTATGCTAACATGTAGCATGCTAACATGTAGTAGGCTAACATGTAGTATGCTAACATGTAGCATGCTAACATGTAGCATGCTAACATGTAGCATGCTAACATGTAGCATGCTAACATGTAGTATGCTAACATGTAGTATGCTAACATGTAGTATGCTAACATGTAGTATGCTAACATGTAGTATGCTAACATGTAGTAGGCTAACATGTAGTATGCTAACATGTAGTATGCTAACATGTAGTATGCTAACATGTAGTATGCTAACATGTAGTAGGCTAACATGTAGTATGCTAACATGTAGTATGCTAACATGTAGTATGCTAACATGTAGCATGCTAACATGTAGTATGCTAACATGTAGAATGCTAACATGTAGTATGCTAACATGTAGTATGCTAACATGTAGTATGCTAACATGTAGTATGCTAACATGTAGCATGCTAACATGTAGTATTCTAACATGTAGTATGCTAACATGTAGTATGCTAACATGTAGTATGCTAACATGTAGTATGCTAACATGTAGTATGCTAACATGTAGTATGCTAACATGTAGTATGCTAACATGTAGCATGCTAACATGTAGTAGGCTAACATGTAGCATGCTAACATGTAGTATTCTAACATGTAGTATGCTAACATGTAGTATGCTAACATGTAGTATGCTAACATGTAGTATGCTAACATGTAGCATGCTAACATGTAGTAGGCTAACATGTAGCATGCTAACATGTAGTATGCTAACATGTAGTATGCTAACATGTAGTATGCTAACATGTAGTATGCTAACATGTAGTATGCTAACATGTAGTATGCTAACATGTAGTATGCTAACATGTAGTATGCTAACATGTAGTATGCTAACATGTAGTATGCTAACATGTAGTATGCTAACATGTAGTATGCTAACATGTATCATGCTAACATGTAGTATGCTAACATGTAGTATGCTAACATGTAGTATGCTAACATGTATCATGCTAACATGTAGTATGCTAACATGTAGTATGCTAACATGTAGTATGCTAACATGTAGTATGCTAACATGTAGCATGCTAACATGTAGCATGCTAACATGTAGCATGCTAACATGTAGCATGCTAACATGTAGTATGCTAACATGTAGTATGCTAACATGTAGTATGCTAACATGTAGTATGCTAACATGTAGTATGCTAACATGTAGTAGGCTAACATGTAGTATGCTAACATGTAGTATGCTAACATGTAGTATGCTAACATGTAGTAGGCTAACATGTAGTATGCTAACATGTAGTATGCTAACATGTAGTATGCTAACATGTAGCATGCTAACATGTAGTATTCTAACATGTAGTATGCTAACATGTAGTATGCTAACATGTAGTATGCTAACATGTAGTATGCTAACATGTAGTATGCTAACATGTAGCATGCTAACATGTAGTATTCTAACATGTAGTATGCTAACATGTAGTATGCTAACATGTAGTATGCTAACATGTAGTATGCTAACATGTAGTATGCTAACATGTAGCATGCTAACATGTAGTAGGCTAACATGTAGCATGCTAACATGTAGTATTCTAACATGTAGTATGCTAACATGTAGTATGCTAACATGTAGTATGCTAACATGTAGTATGCTAACATGTAGCATGCTAACATGTAGTAGGCTAACATGTAGCATGCTAACATGTAGTATTCTAACATGTAGTATGCTAACATGTAGTATGCTAACATGTAGTATGCTAACATGTAGTATGCTAACATGTAGTATGCTAACATGTAGTATGCTAACATGTAGTATGCTAACATGTAGTATGCTAACATGTAGTATGCTAACATGTAGTATGCTAACATGTAGTATGCTAACATGTAGTATGCTAACATGTAGTATGCTAACATGTAGTATGCTAACATGTAGTATGCTAACATGTAGCATGCTAACATGTAGCATGCTAACATGTAGCATGCTAACATGTAGTATGCTAACATGTAGTATGCTAACATGTAGTATGCTAACATGTAGTATGCTAACATGTAGTATGCTAACATGTAGTATGCTAACATGTAGTATGCTAACATGTAGTATGCTAACATGTAGTATGCTAACATGTAGTATGCTAACATGTAGTAGGCTAACATGTAGTATGCTAACATGTAGTATTCTAACATGTAGCATGCTAACATGTAGTATGCTAACATGTAGTATTCTAACATGTAGTATGCTAACATGTAGTATGCTAACATGTAGCATGCTAACATGTAGCATTCTAACATGTAGTATGCTAACATGTAGTATGCTAACATGTAGTATGCTAACATGTAGTATGCTAACATGTAGTATGCTAACATGTAGTATGCTAACATGTATCATGCTAACATGTAGTATGCTAACATGTAGTATGCTAACATGTAGTATGCTAACATGTAGTATGCTAACATGTAGTATGCTAACATGTAGTATGCTAACATGTAGTAGGCTAACATGTAGTATGCTAACATGTAGTATGCTAACATGTAGTATTCTAACATGTAGTATGCTAACATGTAGTATGCTAACATGTAGTATGCTAACATGTAGTATGCTAACATGTAGTATGCTAACATGTAGTAGGCTAACATGTAGTAGGCTAACATGTAGTATGCTAACATGTAGTATGCTAACATGTAGTATGCTAACATGTAGTATGCTAACATGTAGTATTCTAACATGTAGTATGCTAACATGTAGTATGCTAACATGTAGTATGCTAACATGTAGTATGCTAACATGTAGTATGCTAACATGTAGTATGCTAACATGTAGTATGCTAACATGTAGTATGCTAACATGTAGTATGCTAACATGTAGTATGCTAACATGTAGTATGCTAACATGTAGTATTCTAACATGTAGTAGGCTAACATGTAGCATGCTAACATGTAGCATGCTAACATGTAGCATGCAAACATGTAGTATTCTAACATGTAGTATGCTAACATGTAGTATGCTAACATGTAGTATTCTAACATGTAGTAGGCTAACATGTAGTATGCTAACATGTAGTATGCTAACATGTAGTATGCTAACATGTAGTATTCTAACATGTAGTATGCTAACATGTAGTATTCTAACATGTAGTATGCTAACATGTAGCATGCTAACATGTAGCATGCTAACATGTAGCATGCTAACATGTAGCATGCTAACATGTAGCAGGCTAACATGTAGCAGGCTAACATGTAGTAGGCTAACATGTAGTATGCTAACATGTAGTATGCTAACATGTAGTAGGCTAACATGTAGTATGCTAACATGTAGTATTCTAACATGTAGTAGGCTAACATGTAGTATGCTAACATGTAGCATGCTAACATGTAGCATGCTAACATGTAGCATGCTAACATGTAGTATGCTAACATGTAGTATGCTAACATGTAGTATGCTAACATGTAGTATGCTAACATGTAGTATGCTAACATGTAGTATGCTAACATGTAGTATGCTAACATGTAGTATGCTAACATGTAGTATGCTAACATGTAGTATGCTAACATGTAGTAGGCTAACATGTAGTAGGCTAACATGTAGTATGCTAACATGTAGTATGCTAACATGTAGTAGGCTAACATGTAGCAGGCTAACATGTAGTATGCTAACATGTAGTATGCTAACATGTAGTAGGCTAACATGTAGTATGCTAACATGTAGTAAACACTGTTATCTGTATTCATATAAAATAGATTGTGTATATAATGTATAATCCCATACTAAGACTGGGAATACTGTATAATTAACATTTTACTGTATATATATATATATATATATATATATATATATATATATATATATATATATATATATATATATATATAAATGTCTTATTATGAAGCACTTTTCATACAATAGTCTGATAAATATAATGAAATAAGAGCACATTATACAGATGTTTCTTTTGTCATTAATAAAGGACATTTGCAGCTGACAGTCTCACTTCCAAAAGGTTTAAAGTGGTTAGCTATGCTTCTAAGTTTTATTTGTGTGTATATTTCCATTATATTATTCTTCTGTTACTCCTCAGTGTCTGTTACTCCTCAGTGTCTGTTACTCCTCAGTGTCTGTTCCTCCTCCTCAGTGTCTGTTCCTCCTCAGTGTCTGTTCCTCCTCAGTGTCTGTTACTCCTCCTCAGTGTCTGTTACTCCTCAGTGTCTGTTCCTCCTCCTCAGTGTCTGTTCCTCCTCAGTGTCTGTTCCTCCTCAGTGTCTGTTACTCCTCCTCAGTGTCTGTTACTCCTCAGTGTCTGTTACTCCTCAGTGTCTGTTACTCCTCAGTGTCTGTTCCTCCTCAGTGTCTGTTCCTCCTCAGTGTCTGTTACTCCTCAGTGTCTGTTACTCCTCAGTGTCTGTTCCTCCTCAGTGTCTGTTCCTCCTCAGTGTCTGTTCCTCCTCAGTGTCTGTTACTCCTCAGTGTCTGTTACTCCTCAGTGTCTGTTACTCCTCAGTGTCTGTTACTCCTCAGTGTCTGTTACTCCTCAGTGTCTGTTACTCCTCAGTGTCTGTTACTCCTCAGTGTCTGTTCCTCCTCAGTGTCTGTTACTCCTCAGTGTCTGTTACTCCTCAGTGTCTGTTACTCCTCAGTGTCTGTTACTCCTCAGTGTCTGTTCCTCCTCAGTGTCTGTTCCTCCTCAGTGTCTGTTACTCCTCAGTGTCTGTTCCTCCTCAGTGTCTGTTCCTCCTCAGTGTCTGTTCCTCCTCAGTGTCTGTTCCTCCTCAGTGTCTGTTACTCCTCAGTGTCTGTTACTCCTCAGTGTCTGTTACTCCTCAGTGTCTGTTACTCCTCAGTGTCTGTTACTCCTCAGTGTCTGTTACTCCTCAGTGTCTGTTACTCCTCAGTGTCTGTTCCTCCTCAGTGTCTGTTACTCCTCAGTGTCTGTTCCTCCTCAGTGTCTGTTCCTCCTCAGTGTCTGTTACTCCTCAGTGTCTGTTACTCCTCAGTGTCTGTTACTCCTCAGTGTCTGTTCCTCCTCAGTGTCTGTTCCTCCTCAGTGTCTGTTACTCCTCCTCAGTGTCTGTTCCTCCTCAGTGTCTGTTCCTCCTCAGTGTCTGTTTCTCCTCAGTGTCTGTTCCTCCTCAGTGTCTGTTCCTCCTCAGTGTCTGTTCCTCCTCAGTGTCTGTTCCTCCTCAGTGTCTGTTCCTCCTCAGTGTCTGTTCCTCCTCAGTGTCTGTTCCTCCTCAGTGTCTGTTCCTCCTCAGTGTCTGTTCCTCCTCAGTGTCTGTTACTCCTCAGTGTCTGTTCCTCCTCAGTGTCTGTTACTCCTCAGTGTCTGTTACTCCTCAGTGTCTGTTACTCCTCAGTGTCTGTTTCTCCTCAGTGTCTGTTTCTCCTCAGTGTCTGTTTCTCCTCAGTGTCTGTTCCTCCTCAGTGTCTGTTCCTCCTCAGTGTCTGTTCCTCCTCAGTGTCTGTTCCTCCTCAGTGTCTGTTCCTCCTCAGTGTCTGTTCCTCCTCAGTGTCTGTTCCTCCTCAGTGTCTGTTCCTCCTCAGTGTCCATGTTTTAACATGATTGTTCTTTTTCAGAGACTTTTGGTGAAATGGATTCAGACTTTCTCTGACAGCAACACCATCACCTCCTCCTTCACCTCCAGCTTCACCTCCATCACCTCCTGCTTCACCTCCAGCTTCACCTCCTCCTTCACCTCCAGCTTCACCTTCATCACCTCCTGCTTCACCTCCAGCTTCACCTCCAGCTTCACCTCCATCACCTCCTGCTTCACCTCCAGCTTCACCTCCTGCTTCACCTCCATCACCTCCTGCTTCACCTCCAGCTTCACCTCCTGCTTCACCTCCATCACCTCCTCCTTCACCTCCAGCTTCACCTCCATCACCTCCTGCTTCACCTCCAGCTTCACCTCCAGCTTCACCTCCAGCTTCACCTCCTGCTTCACCTCCATCACCTCCTGCTTCACCTCCATCACCTCCTCCTTCACCTCCAGCTTCACCTCCATCACCTCCTGCTTCACCTCCAGCTTCACCTCCAGCTTCACCTCCAGCTTCACCTCCTGCTTCACCTCCTGCTTCACCTCCAGCTTCACCTCCAGCTTCACCTCCAGCTTCACCTCCAGCTTCACCTCCTGCTTCACCTCCATCACCTCCTGCTTCACCTCCATCACCTCCTGCTTCACTGCGGATTTACAATATGAACTACAACAAACATATTTTCATGTTTTATTTAATCATCAGTCATGAATAGTTAGAACAGTGGGATCTGCATCTCTGAAGACGAGGAGCAGCAGCAGGAGCAGCAGCAGGAGCAGCAGCAGCAGGAGGAGCAGCAGCAGGAGGAGCAGCAGGAGCAGCAGCAGCAGCAGCAGGAGGAGCAGCAGGAGCAGCAGCAGCAGGAGGAGCAGCAGCAGGAGGAGCAGCAGCAGCAGCAGCAGCAGCAGGAGGAGCAGCAGCAGCAGGAGCAGCAGCAGCAGGAGGAGCAGCAGCAGGAGGAGCAGCAGCAGGAGGAGCAGCAGCAGCAGCAGGAGGAGGAGCAGCAGGAGCAGCAGCAGGAGGAGCAGCAGGAGGAGCAGGAGGAGCAGGAGGAGCAGGAGGAGGAGCAGCAGGAGGAGCAGCAGCAGCAGGAGCAGCAGGAGCAGGAGGAGCAGCAGCAGCAGGAGCAGCAGGAGCAGCAGCAGCAGCAGGAGGAGCAGGAGCAGCAGCAGCAGCAGGAGGAGCAGGAGCAGCAGGAGGAGCAGGAGCAGCAGCGGCAGCAGGAGCAGCAGGAGCAGGAGGAGCAGCAGGAGCAGCAGCAGCAGCAGCAGCAGGAGGAGCAGCAGGAGGAGCAGCAGCAGCAGCAGCAGCAGGAGGAGCAGCAGCAGAGTCCTGGGCGTCTGCCTCTGACACCTTCATAGAGAGCCTGGAAATAAAAAATAAAACTTGTTGGTGTTGTTATAATGTAGTGTTTTGTGTCTGAAGTGTAAAGAGTCTTATTGACACAAGTACATATTTGTTCTAATGGAATACATTCAACTCTGATCAGTAACAGTCTGTTGCTTTTCAAGACTTCAAAAAGAGCAGTTCTAGGCCTTTCCTGTGTTCAACTGCTTTTTACTGATGTCCGTTATAATAGATCCATGGATATTATTATTATAGATCCATGGATATTATTATTATAGATCCATGGATATTATTATTATAGATCCATGGATATTATTATTATAGATCCATGGATATTATTATTATAGATCCATGGATATTATTATTATAGATCCATGGATATTATTATTATAGATCCATGGATATTATTATTATAGATCCATGGATATTATTATTATAGATCCATGGATATTATTATTATAGATCCATGGATATTATTATTATAGATCCATGGATATTATTATTATAGATCCATGGATATTATTATTATAGATCCATGGATATTATTATTATAGATCCATGATATTATTATTATAGATCCATGGATATTATTATTATAGATCCATTGATATTATTATTATAGATCCATGGATATTATTATTATAGATCCATTGATATTATTATTATAGATCCATTGATATTATTATTATAGATCCATGGATATTATTATTATAGATCCATGGATATTATTATTATAGATCCATTGATATTATTATTATAGATCCATGGATATTATTATTATAGATCCATGGATATTATTATTATAGATCCATGGATATTATTATTATAGATCCATGGATATTATTATTATAGATCCATGGATATTATTATTATAGATCCATGGATATTATTATTATAGATCCATGGATATTATTATTATAGATCCATGGATATTATTATTATAGATCCATGGATATTATTATTATAGATCCATGGATATTATTATTATAGATCCATGGATATTATTATTATAGATCCATGGATATTATTATTATAGATCCATGGATATTATTATTATAGATCCATGGATATTATTATTATAGATCCATGGATATTATTATTATAGATCCATGGATATTATTATTATAGATCCATGGATATTATTATTATAGATCCATGGATATTATTATTATAGATCCATGGATATTATTATTATAGATCCATGGATATTATTATTATAGATCCATGGATATTATTATTATAGATCCATGGATATTATTATTATAGATCCATGGATATTATATTATAGATCCATGGATATTATTATAGATCCATGGATTTATTATTATAGATCCATGGATATTATTATTATAGATCCATGGATATTATTATTATAGATCCATGGATATTATCATTATAGATCCATGGATATTATTATTATAGATCCATGGATATTATTATTATAGATCCATGGATATTATTATTATAGATCCATGGATATTATCATTATAGATCCATGGATATTATTATTATAGATCCATGGATATTATTATTATAGATCCATGGATATTATCATTATAGATCCATGGATATTATCATTATAGATCCATGGATATTATTATTATAGATCCATGGATATTCCTTTCTCATCAGAAAACACACGTTATTACATTTATGTAAGTGATGCACAAACGAGGCCATAGCAAGTAAATCAATCATATCATTTATCACATGTGTGCATTGTTTACATACAATATCTCTAAAGTAAAAACGAATGATTACTGCCAATACAATTGTTATAACAGAGAAAGTCCGTAACAAAAGCCTCAGATTTTCAGAATGAAGCTTGTGTGAGCTCCACTGATGTGTCCCCGCATTGAGCACTGCCCGACCCCCGCTCTCTGCACTGGAGAAAGGTCCGACAATGTTCTATTTGATCCCCAAACAGACCTCCGATATGACAATAGAGGGGGGTATTTCTCGCCTCACATGTTATTAGAATTAACTTTTATGTAACTTTTTATTAAAGCGTATTTTACACTTTTACCTTAATCCTGGCTCCCGTGTCCTTCCCTCTCCGAGTTGTGTTGGCAACAAAGCAGACCTGTGTGACGCGGCTCCAGAACGCTGCCCTCTAGTGTCCTGGAGGCATGTGACGCGGCTCCAGAACGCTGCCCTCTAGTGTCCTGGAGGCATGTGACGCGGCTCCAGAACGCTGCCCTCTAGTGTCCTGGAGGCATGTGACGCGGCTCCAGAACGCTGCCCTCTAGTGTCCTGGAGGCGTGTGACGCGGCTCCAGAACGCTGCCCTCTAGTGTCCTGGAGGCATGTGACGCGGCTCCAGAACGCTGCCCTCTAGTGTCCTGGAGGCGTGTGACGCGGCTCCAGAACGCTGCCCTCTAGTGTCCTGGAGGCGTGTGACGCAGCTCCAGAACGCTGCCCTCTAGTGTCCTGGAGGCATGTGACGCGGCTCCAGAACGCTGCCCTCTAGTGTCCTGGAGGCGTGTGACGCGGCTCCAGAACGCTGCCCTCTAGTGTCCTGGAGGCGTGTGACGCAGCTCCAGAACGCTGCCCTCTAGTGTCCTGGAGGCATGTGACGCGGCTCCAGAACGCTGCCCTCTAGTGTCCTGGAGGCGTGTGACGCGCCTCCAAGATGCTCTGTGACAGCGTCTACCACAATTTGTCCCAAGACTCAGACGCGATTTTGCCGCAGAAAACGTTTGGTCTGAACGCACCTTAAGTTTAGAACATTATTATTATTATTATTATTATTCTCATGTGCTGTAGTTTAGAACATTATTATTATTATAATTATTATTCTCATGTGCTGTAGTTTAGAACATTATTATTATTATAATTATTATTCTCATGTGCTGTAGTTTAGAACATTATTATTATTATAATTATTATTCTCATGTGCTGTAGTTTAGAACATTATTATTATAATTATTATTCTCATGTGCTGTAGTTTAGAACATTATTATTATTATAATTATTCTCATGTGCTGTAGTTTAGAACATTTATTATTTATTATTATTATTATTATATTCTGTGCTGTTTTAGAACATTATTATTATTATAATTATTCTCATGTGCTGTAGTTTAGAACATTATTATTATTATTATTATTCTCATGTGCTGTAGTTTAGAACATTATTATTATTATTATTATTCTCATGTGCTGTAGTTTAGAACATTATTATTATTATAATTATTATTCTCATGTGCTGTAGTTTAGAACATTATTATTATTATTATTCTCATGTGCTGTAGTTTAGAACATTATTATTATTATAATTATTATTCTCATGTGCTGTAGTTTAGAACATTATTATTATTATTATTATTATTCTCATGTGCTGTAGTTTAGAACATTATTATTATTATAATTATTATTCTCATGTGCTGTAGTTTAGAACATTATTATTATTATTATGTGCTGTAGTTTAGAACATTATTATAATTATTATTCTCATGTGCTGTAGTTTAGAACATTATTATTATTATTATTATGTGCTGTAGTTTAGAACATTATTATTGTTATTATTATGTTATTTACTTCAGAACATTATTATTATTATTCTCATGTGCTGTAGTTTCCCTGGGTTCTCTCCGACTACACGTCTGAGGAGCTGGACCTGTCGGACCCTGGAGTTTTCCGGGATCTTTCTAAACCAATCGCTGTCATTAATGAACGCAACGCAAAAGCTGTGAGGGAAAAGTAAGTGCTTATTATTCTTATATATTATACAGGAGCTTATTTATCTACGTTTAAAGTATTATTTATTTGTAGACAAACTTAGATCTTCTTTGTAGAAACACATTATAGAAAAGTCATAATCTTTTTATTCAACAATGATTGGATATTTTCTGTAATATTCTAACATAGAGTTTGTGTTTAGGCATTTTTCTGGATTTAAGAAACTCACTTTCAAACAAAACCAGTTCCTCTCAGTCCAAAGGGTCAAATAGTAGCTCACAGGGTCTTTCTTACAAGTCTGATACAGTATTTACTTAGTTAGGTACCCCAGCTTTAAGATTTTTCTGATGTTTAGATATGAGAGTTTCGAGGACCCCACAGGGACCATCGACCGCTTCCACTTTGGGACTCACTATTCCAACGCTGCAGGAGTCATGCACTACCTACTGCGGGTCGAGCCCTTCACCTCCCTGCACATCCAGCTGCAGAGCGGCCGGTAAGAACCTCTGTAGGAACCACATCTGTAAGAACCTCTGTAGGAACCACATCTGTAAGAACCTCTGTAGGAACCACATCTGTAAGAACCACATCTGTGAGAACCACCTCTGTAGGAACCACATTTGTAAGAACCACATTTGTAAGAACCACATCTGTAAGAACCACATCTGTAGGAACCACATCTGTAGGAACCACATTTGTAGGAACCACATCTGTAAGAACCACCTCTGTAGGAACCACATTTGTAAGAACCACATCTGTAAGAACCTCTGTAGGAACCACATCTGTAAGAACCTCTGTAGGAACCACATCTGTAAGAACCTCTGTAGGAACCACATCTGTAAGAACCTCTGTAAGAACCACATCTGTAAGAACCTCTGTAGGAACCACATCTGTAAGAACCTCTGTAGGAACCACATCTGTAAGAACCACATCTGTGAGAACCACCTCTGTAGGAACCACATTTGTAAGAACCACATCTGTAAGAACCACCTCTGTAGGAACCACATCTGTAAGAACCACATTTGTAAGAACCACATCTGTAAGAACCACATCTGTAGGAACCACATCTGTAAGAACCACATCTGTAAGAACCACATCTGTAAGAACCACATCTGTAGGAACCACATCTGTAGGAACCACATTTGTAAGAACCACATCTGTAAGAACCACCTCTGTAGGAACCACATCTGTAGGAACCACATTTGTAAGAACCACATTTGTAAGAACCACATCTGTAGGAACCACATCTGTAGGAACCACATCTGTAAGAACCACATCTGTAAGAACCACATCTGTAGGAACCACATCTGTAGGAACCACATCTGTAGGAACCACATCTGTAGGAACCACATCTGTAAGAACCACATCTGTAAGAACCACATCTGTAGGAACCACATCTGTAGGAACCACATCTGTAAGAACCACATCTGTAGGAACCACATCTGTAAGAACCACATCTGTAAGAACCACATCTGTAGGAACCACATCTGTAAGAACCACATCTGTAGGAACCACATCTGTAGGAACCACATCTGTAAGAACCACATCTGTAGGAACCACATCTGTAGGAACCACATCTGTAAGAACCACATCTGTAAGAACCACATCTGTAGGAACCACATCTGTAAGAACCACATCTGTAGGAACCACATCTGTAAGAACCTCTGTAGGAACCACATCTGTAAGAACCTCTGTAGGAACCACATCTGTAGGAACCACATCTGTAAGAACCACATCTGTAGGAACCACATCTGTAGGAACCACATCTGTAAGAACCACATCTGTAGGAACCACATCTGTAAGAACCTCTGTAAGAACCACATCTGTAAGAACCACATCTGTAGGAACCACATCTGTAGGAACCACATCTGTAAGAACCACATCTGTAGGAACCACATCTGTAAGAACCACATCTGTAGGAACCACATCTGTAGGAACCACATCTGTAAGAACCTCTGTAGGAACCACATCTGTAAGAACCTCTGTAGGAACCACATCTGTAAGAACCACATCTGTAAGAACCACATCTGTAGGAACCACATCTGTAAGAACCTCTGTAGGAACCACATCTGTAAGAACCACATCTGTAAGAACCTCTGTAGGAACCACATCTGTAGGAACCACATCTGTAAGAACCTCTGTAAGAACCACATCTGTAAGAACCACATCTGTAAGAACCACATATGTAGGAACCACATCTGTAAGAACCACATCTGTAGGAACCACATCTGTAAGAACCACATCTGTAGGAACCACATCTGTAGGAACCACATCTGTAAGAACCACATCTGTAAGAACCACATCTGTAGGAACCACATCTGTAAGAACCACATCTGTAGGAACCACATATATTTATCATAGACTGTATATATTAACGGACAGAGTCATGTCTATCTCCGCCGTTCTAACTAATGGGCCAAAAAATGTGCTCTACTGGAGCTATCCAAAATGGCCGCGAGTGGTCCCGCCCACAGGAAAATTGTGAAAAAACACATCTGTGCGTCAGCTGCGAGAGCTCCATTCATTTGAGAGACTTCAAAAATTCACAGCGACTAAACTAGAGTGGACCAGAACACTCAGCATTGACACACATGTGGAACGGAGCTTTGGGCCATATATGTTAGCATTGGCTAATTCTACTTCTGGGTCCACCCCCACAGGCCCGGGGTGGTACTGCAGCATGTCAGGGTCCACCCCCACAGGCCCGGGGTGGTACTGCAGCATGTCAGGGTCCACCCCCACAGGCCCGGGGTGGTATTGCAGCATGTCAGGGTCCACCCCCACAGGCCCGGGGTGGTACTGCAGCATGTCAGGGTCCACCCCCACAGGCCCGGGGTGGTACTGCAGCATGTCAGGGTCCACCCCCACAGGCCCGGGGTGGTACTGCAGCATGTCAGGGTCCACCCCCACAGGCCCGGGGTGGTACTGCAGCATGTCAGGGTCCACCCCCACAGGCCCGGGGTGGTACTGCAGCATGTCAGGGTCCACCCCCACAGGCCCGGGGTGGTACTGCAGCATGTCAGGGTCCACCCCCACAGGCCCGGGGTGGTACTGCAGCATGTCAGGGTCCACCCCCACAGGCCCGGGGTGGTACTGCAGCATGTCAGGGTCCACCCCCACAGGCCCGGGGTGGTACTGCAGCATGTCAGGGTCCACCCCCACAGGCCCGGGGTGGTACTGCAGCATGTCAGGGTCCACCCCCACAGGCCCGGGGTGGTACTGCAGCATGTCAGGGTCCACCCCCACAGGCCCGGGGTGGTACTGCAGCATGTCAGGGTCCACCCCCACAGGCCCGGGGTGGTACTGCAGCATGTCAGGGTCCACCCCCACAGGCCCGGGGTGGTATTGCAGCATGTCAGGGTCCACCCCCACAGGCCCGGGGTGGTATTGCAGCATGTCAGCGCACGTCATTTTGGCCACTTTTGAGCTGGGACCCGCCCCCACTGAGATATATATATATATATATATATATATATAAATCCATCCATCCATCCATCCATCTTCTACCCTTTAATCCATTTCTGGGTCAGGGGGGTGGCAGTCAGAGATGCCACCCAAGTCTCATAGCACCAGCCCCTCACTGACCCTCTGCAGGTGGTGAGTCCACAGGAGGACGGCTGCTCTCTGACTGTGAGCATAGCCTTGATCTTTCAGTGGGGGCTTTGGGCAAAGTGGGGTTAAGTGTATATATATATGTATATATGTATATATATATATATGTATATATGTATATATGTATATATATATATATATATATATATATATATATATATATATATATATATATATATATCCTGATGTCCTGGTGTTGTATATATAAAAACATATATATCCTCTCGTCATGGCGGAGCCAGGCGCGAGTGGTGATAGTGGCGGTGCTCGAAGAAACGAAAAACCTGAGATCTACAAAACTTCCAGTGGGTTAATTATTGTTGAAGATGAGTTGTTAAACTTCCTTGCTGTCAAAATGCATATATTGACGCAAGATGAACTTATAATGCTCGCAACAAGACATTTCTCGTCGGAATGGATTGAGGACTCCAAACGAATCCTGTTTGACGTTTGTCCTAAAACATCTCTGCGCAACATTGCACACAAAGGCCCGCAGAAGGATATAAACAACATCAAGGCTTGTTTGAAAGTGCTCAATGAATCTGGCGAAAACATCCCTCGGTTTGTTTCGCATTATTTGGATGAGCTGCCTATTGTTGGATTTGGGAGTCTGGACGCCTCCGCGCTTCTCAGCCGGGTGGAGCAACTCAGCCGGGACGTCCTGTCAGTAAGGCTGGCGTCCGAGGAGCAGGCTAAAGTTAGCGAAAACCTGCGACAAGCTTCAGAGGCTATCGAACGCCGGGTAGGACTGATTGAGGGGGCTCAATCCAGCCCGGATTCTAGCCTAGAGTCCAGTGGAACTATGCGCGCCCCTGCTGTGTGCGTATCGGACCCAATTGCGGCGCAGAACCGGGCGGGCATAAGCACTGAGTCGGGTGCTAGCGCCTCAACTCGGGAGTGGACCACTGTTGTCAAAACGGGCCGGCGACTGAAACAAGGGCCTCAACTGAGCTCGAAACCACCCCAAGCTGCAGGGAAAGATTGAAGGAAAGTTGGAATTACTGGGACAAGCACCGCAAGCACGATCAAGGTGGTTACATCTAAGCTGGTGAGTGTGTTTGCTACCCGCTTTGACCCGGCGCTTGATGCTGAAACTTTATGTGGCTACCTGGCGGAGAAACTTAACAACAACTCAGTCGTGTGTAGAAAGATTGCAACAATTCAGAGCCGGTACAGCTCATTTCACGTCACGGCAGAATGCTCCGATGTCGCGTGTTTCTATGACCCAGATCTATGGCCGGCTGGCATCTTTGTGGCCGCTACTATGAACCACGCAGGGCTGGTGGAATTCATGGAGCAGGGATGTCTGGTGCGGTGAGGGATACCTCACCAGAACACGGTAGTGCAGCAGTGGAGAGTGACGTGACCAATGCGTATAATGGTTAACACTCAACATGGCTTTTTCAGTGGTATCCTATAATGCGCGCGGACTGCGTGTGGGGCATAGTGATGGAGACAGAGCACGCCGTCTCATAGTGGATAAACTATTAGAAACCTGTGATGTGTGAGACATTTTTGACCAGTGTACACAAGGACTTCCATGGGGCAGGGGAGTCCACCACTGACCTAAATACTAAACATGTTAAAGGCAGAATACCAGGAGGGGTCGCTGTTCTATGGCATAAGAAATATGACAATATGGTCAAGGTGCTCAGGCTGGGGGTAAACTGGGCTATTGGCCTTGAAGTGCATTGTGATAGCAGTAAGATAGTAATTCTAAACATTTATACACCTTATGAGTGTGCACAAAATGAGGATGAGTATGTCAAATGTCTTGCCAGCATCTCAACATTCATGAATGCCATTGACTCAACATGTATAATTGTTGTGGGAGATATGAATGCGGATATCGCTGATGACAAATCAATATTTGCTAAACATTTAAAACTATTTTGTGCTGATAATGGCCTTATACTATCTAGTGAGGTTTGCCTGCCAGAAGGAAGCTACACGTATGTTAGCGATGCCTGGCACACCACATCTTGGCTTGATCATTGCCTAAGTACTACGGATGGGCATACCACCATCACCAGCATGCAGATTTTATATGACCTGGCAATATCTGATCATATGCCATTTATTCTCAAATGTAACCTGGGAAACATCCCAAAAGTAACACCTAATGAAGTATGTCCCAACACAGACACTCTGGACTGGTCAAAACTATCGGATGAGAACATCTTTGCCTTCACCAATAGGACACATGGGTGCTTGAGCAGTATCGAGGTGCCCAAAGATGCCATTTTGTGCCGTGACATTAATTGCAGAAGTCAGGAGCACTGCTCTCAAATATGTTCACTATACAATGGTGTCACTGAGGCCCTCATTGCAGCTGGTAGACCTCTCAGTAAACATAAAAAGCACACCCACAGTGGTAAACCTGGATGGAATATGTACGTGGAAGGAGCTCATGCGGACGCTCGGTGTGCATTTAAAGCTTGGACAGAAGCTGGGAAGCACAGGAGTGGGTCACTGTTTGAACAAAAGAAACGTGCAAATGCCAAATTCAAATGTGCCTTGCGCTATATAAAGCGGAATGAGAATCGCCTAAGAGCAGATTCTTTTGCATCCAAACTGAAAAACAACAACTTCTTTGACTTTTGGAAAGAAGTTAGAACGATGAACAGTTGCAAGACTTCTCTTCCCTGTGATATTGACGGAGTAACTGGTTCGGACAATATATGTAAATTGTGGATGAAATATTATTATGAATTGTATAATTGTGGTAAAGACAATAATGCTATTATAGGGGCTGTTGATAATAATGATGGTGTGATCGTAACTCCACTTGAGGTTTTTAATGCTGTTTTAACATTGAAGAGTAACAAGTCATGTGGACCAGATGCAGTTTCATCTGAGCACCTAAAATATGCAAGCAAAAAGTTATACCCACTTCTTGCTCTATGTTTTACTAGTTTTTTTGTTCATGGGGTTTTGCCTGTGTCACTTATGTCAGTCTTACTTGTCCCAGTAATCAAAGACAAGGCTGGGAAACTCAACAGTAAGGACAACTATCGGCCTATTGCCTTGGCCAGTTGTGTGGCCAAGGTTTTTGAGAGGATCATTCTGTACAGACTTGAACCATACCTTTATACAGCTGCAAACCAGTTTGGATTCAAACAAGAGCATGGTACTGACCTGTGTATTTTTGCCCTTAAGGAAATTCTGGACAAGTACCACAGTCAAGGTTCCACAATTTTCACCTGTTTCTTAGATGCATCCAAAGCATTCGATAGGATTAATCATGAGAGGCTTTTCAGGAAGTTATCTAATAGAGGTGTCCCTGGCTACCTTATTAGGGTCCTCATGTTTTGGTACTCACAGCAGAGTATGCGGGTGAAGTGGGGTGGGTCAGTTTCAGACTCATTCAAGGTCAGTAATGGAGTCCGGCAGGGTAGTGTGATGTCCCTCCTGTTGTTTAACATCTATATGGACGATTTATCTGTACAGCTCAATCACTGTAATACTGGGTGTGTTGTGGGAGGCAGAGTGATTAACCACCTCATGTATGCCGATGACCTGGTTGTGCTCAGTCCGTACAGTGCAGGACTTCAGCAGCTCCTCAAGATATGCTCTGAGTACGGTCTTCAAAATGATATAAAATATAACTCTAGTAAAAGCTTCATCATGATTGTGAGGATAAAAAATGACATAAAATCTGTATTTCCTGCATTCTCCCTATGTGGTAATGCTCTAAATGTCAGTGAGGAGGTAAAGTACCTTGGCCATTACATATGCAGTGACCTCACAGACGACCGGGATATACACAGACAGAGATGTAAACTGTATGGCCAATCCAACATGCTGGTCAGAAAGTTTAACATGTGCTCTGTGAATGTTAAAACCTCCCTGTTCCAATCTTTTTGTGCTCCCTTATACACAGCCCAACTATGGCGGAGCTATAAGCAGGCCAGTTTGCAGAAGTTAACTGTTGCCTATAATGACTCGATGAGGATGCTGTTGAAGATCCCCAGACACAGTAGTGCGAGTCAGATGTTTGCTGAGTGCAGGGTGCGCTCCTTTCCTGCTGCCCTACGTCACTGCTACTATCGGTTCATGTGTAGAGTGGTGAGGGTGCCTAATGCTATTGTACAGTCCCTGGTTTGTCCTTACATTAGCTCAGTCAGGTTCACTTCTTTGCTCTGGAGTCACTGGCTTCTCTGTATGTGTGACTTGGTCTAAATATGTGAATATGTGATTACTATGTGTGTTTTAACTCTGTTCTGTTTTTTGTTTTTTTTTTTTTTACTTTTCTTTCATTATTCTTAGCTATGGATCCTGTGCTTGCATGTGAGTCCTTAATAAAGTATAAATAATAAAAAAATAAATACTTTGTGTCCTGTAGCTTTGACTGTGCGGACAGACAGTTCCACTCCATTCCTGGGACGTGGCAAACTCTGATGGAGAACCCCAACGACGTCAAGGAGCTCATCCCAGAATTCTTCTATTTCCCAGAATTCCTTGAAAATCAAAATGGTAAAAATAAAGAAATAAACTTTATCCATTTAGTTTTTTAAGCTCATTGTTTTGTTTGATCCAGGCTTTGATCTGGGACGACTGCAGATTTCTAAAGAACGGGTGGATGATGTCATCCTGCCCCGCTGGGCCTCCTCCCCCGAGGACTTCATCTACAAGCACCGCAAGGCTCTGGTCAGAACTTAGAGATGGGACCTTAGAGATGGGACCTTAGAGATAGGACCTTAGAGATAGGACCTTAGAGATAGGACCTTAGAGATAGGACATTAGAGATAGGACCTTAGAGATAGGACCTTAGAGATAGGACATTAGAGATAGGACCTTAGAGATAGGACCTTAGAGATAGGACATTAGAGATAGGACCTTAGAGATAGGACCTTAGAGATAGGACATTAGAGATAGGACCTTAGAGATAGGACATTAGAGATAGGACCTTAGAGATAGGACCTTAGAGATAGGACCTTAGAGATAGGACCTTAGAGATAGGACCTTAGAGATGGGACCTTAGAGATAGGACCTTAGAGATAGGACCTTAGAGATAGGACCTTAGAGATAGGACATTAGAGATAGGACCTTAGAGATAGGACCTTAGAGATAGGACATTAGAGATAGGACCTTAGAGATAGGACATTAGAGATAGGACCTTAGAGATAGGACCTTAGAGATAGGACATTAGAGATAGGACCTTAGAGATAGGACCTTAGAGATAGGACATTAGAGATAGGACCTTAGAGATAGGACCTTAGAGATAGGACATTAGAGATAGGACCTTAGAGATGGGACCTTAGAGATAGGACCTTAGAGATAGGACCTTAGAGATAGGACCTTAGAGATAGGACATTAGAGATAGGACCTTAGAGATAGGACCTTAGAGATAGGACATTAGAGATAGGACCTTAGAGATAGGACCTTAGAGATAGGACATTAGAGATAGGACCTTAGAGATAGGACATTAGAGATAGGACCTTAGAGATAGGACATTAGAGATAGGACCTTAGAGATAGGACCTTAGAGATAGGACCTTAGAGATAGGACCTTAGAGATAGGACCTTAGAGATGGGACCTTAGAGATAGGACCTTAGAGATAGGACCTTAGAGATAGGACCTTAGAGATAGGACATTAGAGATAGGACCTTAGAGATAGGACCTTAGAGATAGGACCTTAGAGATAGGACCTTAGAGATAGGACATTAGAGATAGGACCTTAGAGATAGGACCTTAGAGATAGGACATTAGAGATAGGACCTTAGAGATAGGACCTTAGAGATAGGACATTAGAGATAGGACCTTAGAGATAGGACCTTAGAGATAGGACATTAGAGATAGGACCTTAGAGATAGGACCTTAGAGATAGGACATTAGAGATAGGACCTTAGAGATAGGACATTAGAGATAGGACCTTAGAGATAGGACCTTAGAGATAGGACCTTAGAGATAGGACCTTAGAGATAGGACCTTAGATATAGGACATTAGAGATAGGACCTTAGAGATAGGACATTAGAGATAGGACATTAGAGATAGGACCTTAGAGATCAGTTAGAGACAGTGACTCTCTAACTGAAACTAAACCGTCGTAAAGTGTACTAAAGCGTTCTAAAGCGTACTAAAGCGTACTAAAACGTACTAAGGCGTACTAAAGCGTACTAAGGCGTACTAAAGCGTTCTAAAGCGTACTAAGGCGTACTAAAGCGTTCTAAAGCGTACTAAGGCGTACTAAGGCGTTCTAAAGCGTACTAAGGCGTACTAAGGCGTACTAAGGCGTACTAAGGCGTTCTAAAGCGTACTAAAGCGTACTAAGGCGTACTAAAGCGTTCTAAAGCGTACTAAGGCGTACTAAGGCGTACTAAGGCGTACTAAAGCGTTCTAAAGCGTACTAAGGCGTACTAAAGCGTTCTAAAGCGTACTAAGGCGTACTAAGGCGTACTAAGGCGTACTAAAGCGTTCTAAAGCGTACTAAGGCGTACTAAGGCGTACTAAAGCGTACTAAAGCGTACTAAAGCGTACTAAGGCGTACTAAGGCGTACTAAGGCGTACTAAGGCGTACTAAAGCGTACTAAGGCGTACTAAAGCGTACTAAGGCGTACTAAAGCGTTCTAAAGCGTACTAAGGCGTACTAAAGCGTTCTAAAGCGTACTAAGGCGTACTAAGGCGTACTAAGGCGTACTAAAGCGTTCTAAAGCGTACTAAGGCGTACTAAGGCGTACTAAAGCGTACTAAAGCGTACTAAAGCGTACTAAGGCGTACTAAGGCGTACTAAGGCGTACTAAGGCGTACTAAAGCGTACTAAGGCGTACTAAAGCGTACTAAGGCGTACTAAAGCGTACTAAAACGTACTAAAGCGTACTAAAGCGTCTTAAAGCGGCTTAAATCGTACTAAAGCATACTAAAACGTACTAAGGCGTACTAAGGCGTACTAAGGCGTACTAAGGCATACTAAAACGTACTAAGGCGTACTAAGGCGTCCTAAAGCGTCCTAAAGCATACTAAAATGTACTAAGGCGTACTAAGGCGTACTAGGGCGTACTAAAGCGTCCTAAAGGGTACTAAAACGTACTAAGGCGTTCTAAAGCGTACTAAGGCGTACTAAGGCGTACTAAGGCGTACTAAGGCGTTCTAAAGCGTACTAAAGCGTACTAAAGCGTACTAAGGCGTACTAAAGCGTACTAAAGCGTACTAAGGCGTACTAAGGCGTACTAAGGCGTACTAAGGCGTACTAAGGCGTACTAAGGCGTACTAAAGCGTACTAAGGCGTACTAAGGCGTACTAAGGCGTACTAAAGCGCCTTAAACCGTACTAAAACGTACTAAAGCGTACTAAAACGTACTAAAACGTACTAAAACGTACTAAGGCGTACTAAAGCGTCTTAAAGCATCTTAAAGCGTACTAAAGCGTCTTAAAGCATCTTAAAGCGTACTAAAGCATACTAAAACGTACTAAGGCGTACTAAGGCGTACTAGGGCGTACTAAAGCGTCCTAAAGGGTACTAAAACGTACTAAGGCGTTCTAAAGCGTACTAAGGCGTACTAAGGCGTACTAAAGCGTACTAAAGCGTACTAAGGCGTACTAAAGCGTTCTAAAGCGTACTAAGGCGTACTAAGGCGTTCTAAAGCGTACTAAAGCGTACTAAAGCGTACTAAGGCGTACTAAAGCGTTCTAAAGCGTACTAAGGCGTACTAAGGCGTACTAAGGCGTACTAAAGCGTTCTAAAGCGTACTAAGGCGTACTAAGGCGTACTAAAGCGTTCTAAAGCGTACTAAAGCGTACTAAGGCGTACTAAAGCGTTCTAAAGCGTACTAAGGCATACTAAGGCGTACTAAGGCGTACTAAAGCGTACTAAAGCGTACTAAAGCGTACTAAGGCGTACTAAGGCGTACTAAAGCGTACTAAGGCGTACTAAGGCGTACTAAGGCGTACTAAGGCGTACTAAAGCGTACTAAGGCGTACTAAGGCGTACTAAGGCGTACTAAGGCGTACTAAAGCGTACTAAAGCGTACTAAAGCGTACTAAGGCGTACTAAAGCGTCTTAAAGCGTACTAAAACGTACTAAAGCGTACTAAAGCGTCTTAAAGCGGCTTAAATCGTACTAAAGCATACTAAAACGTACTAAGGCGTACTAAAACGTACTAAAACGTACTAAGGCGTACTAAAGCGTCTTAAAGCAACTTAAAGCGTACTAAAGCGTTCTAAGGCGTACTAAGGCGTACTAGGGCGTACTAAAGCGTCCTAAAGGGTACTAAAGCGTACTAAGGCGTACTAAGGCGTACTAAAACGTACTAAAGCGTACTAAGGCGTACTAAGGCGTACTAAAGCGTTCTAAAGCGTACTAAAGCGTACTAAGGCGTACTAAAGCGTTCTAAAGCGTACTAAGGCGTACTAAGGCGTACTAAAGCGTTCTAAAGCGTACTAAGGCGTACTAAGGCGTACTAAAGCGTACTAAAGCGTACTAAAGCGTACTAAGGCGTACTAAGGCGTACTAAGGCGTACTAAGGCATACTAAAGCGTACTAAGGCGTACTAAAACGTACTAAGGCGTACTAAAACGTACTAAGGCGTACTAAGGCGTACTAAGGCGTACTAAAGCGTACTAAAGCGTACTAAAGCGTACTAAGGCGTACTAAAACGTACTAAGGCGTACTAAGGCGTACTAAGGCGTACTAAGGCGTACTAAGGCGTACTAAGGCGTACTAAAGCGTACTAAGGCGTACTAAAACGTACTAAGGCTTACTAAAACGTACTAAGGCGTACTAAGGCGTACTAAGGCGTACTAAGGCGTACTAAAGCGTACTAAAGCGTACTAAAGCGTACTAAGGCGTACTAAGGCGTACTAAGGCGTACTAAGGCGTACTAAGGCGTACTAAAGGGTACTAAGGCGTACTAAAACGTACTAAGGCGTACTAAAACGTACTAAGGCGTACTAAGGCGTACTAAGGCGTACTAAGGCGTACTAAGGCGTACTAAGGCATACTAAAGCGTACTAAGGCGTACTAAAACGTACTAAGGCGTACTAAGGCGTCCTAAAGCGTACTAAAGCGTACTAAAGCGTACTAAAGCGTACTAAGGCATACTAAAGCGTACTAAGGCGTACTAAAACGTACTAAGGCGTACTAAGGCGTCCTAAAGCGTACTAAAGCATACTAAAACGTACTAAGGCGTACTAAGGCGTACTAGGGCGTACTAAAGCGTCCTAAAGGGTACTAAAGCGTACTAAGGCGTACTAAAGCGTACTAAGGCGTACTAAAGCGTACTAAGGCGTACTAAAGCGTACTAAAGCGTACTAAGGCGTACTAAGGCGTACTAAGGCGTACTAAGGCGTACTAAGGCGTACTAAAGCGTACTAAGGCGTACTAAGGCGTACTAAGGCGTACTAAAGCGTACTAAAGCGTCTTAAAGCGGCTTAAATCGTACTAAAGCATACTAAAACGTACTAAGGCGTAATAAAACGTACTAAAACGTACTAAGGCGTACTAAAGCGTCTTAAAGCATCTTAAAGCGTACTAAAGCGTTCTAAGGCGTACTAAGGCGTACTAGGGCGTACTAAAGCGTCCTAAAGGGTACTAAAGCGTACTAAGGCGTACTAAAGCGTACTAAAGCGTACTAAGGCGTACTAAGGCGTACTAAGGCGTACTAAAGCGTACTAAGGCGTACTAAGGCGTACTAAGGCGTACTAAAGCGTA